CAATCAGTTTTACTCTTTTCTATAAAAATGTCTGCATATTCAACAACGAAAGAAATATGTTTGGCCTTAATATTACATAGTTCATTATATCTGAAACCCCCAGTGTAAGCTATAAATCACACATACACAGTTAACGCAAATCTTTAAGTGATCTCTTGTTATATAAATTAAAAAGTTTGTTCATAATATCTGGTTCTACTGGTGTCTTTTTCTGAATCGGTCTAAATAACATACGTTTAGATGCATCGAGTACAAAATCTGAATCACAAGGATTCTTTACGCCTGCAATATGATGTACACTCTTAATACAGTAAAATGCGGCATCATCGACACTGCAATGACTACTGGTATCTAATAGGTGTGACTCTGTTTCCAGGAATCAGTTGTAAAAATATTCTGTAATAAAAGAAAATTACGAAAATAGTAATTAAACAGTAATAATACAATTAATCAATAGTAACCTTGTAAATTCCTAATCCATTCAAGCAATGCAGTGACCTTAACTGCATAGTCCAGTGACTACAATAATCTTGGTCCAGTGACCATTACAAATCATATGTCCAGTGATAAACATATTTAAACAATTAACTCAAATCAAGTGAGTTTGACGTTCCTATGCCAAATCATTAACAGTCCATAAGAACTGTTCTAGCTAGAACTGTCTAAAAGGTGTCAGGATGACAGTTCTACATACTGTCCTAGAACAGTTCTCCTGACAGATTCTGACAGATTTTATGAGAGATTAGAAGTGATCTCCACTGTATCTGCTTTACCTTATTATTATATTCATTTGATTTTGAACCACATTTTACAACAAGTACGTGTACCCGTGTTTTTAGAATAATGATGAAAGTTTTTAACGACCTTGACTGGCTAAATGTGTGCTTAATATTTATGAAGATTATTTGTACAAATGTAATACATGCACTTATATTACTGTATTCCATAATATAAGTTGTATTATGAGAATCAATAATATTGTAAGATAGCGTAATGTGTGAATTAATATTATGCAATCCAATAATTTTGGAAATGCATAATAATATTTTGATGCAGTATTATGCATTTCCAAAACTATGTGATTGAATAATATTAATTCACACATTATACTATCTTATAATATTATTGAAAATATATAATCTATCTTAGATTATGGGATACCATAATATTAATTATGGGCCGGGTAATTTAAAGGGGCACAAGCTGTCAAATTCGTGTTCACCGATTTGACTCAAATTCTCATATTTGATTTATAACAATGTAAAACATTTATCCAAATTATAAAAAGTCCAAAATAAACAATTTACAGTGCATGGTCTCAAATATATGTAGCTTCGATTCGTGTGTAGACGACATCTAATTAACTACCGAGTTGACCTCCGACGACCTCTGATGATCATATAAGCGATATAAACATAAATATAAATATAAATAATCTTGCAATTGGATTTTTCTAGGTCTGTTACATTTCATTTTATAGATTAAAAATATATGTTAATCATCGTTTTTACATGTATACTAATAATTTTGTGTGGATCGAATCAGTCCATCAAATGATTTACCTTTGTTTCACATTCAATTTTGACATTTCTTTCTTAAAATAACTGTACACTCACTCTCACTATCTACTATTTACTTGCAAGTGAATAATTCATCATCAATGTTTCTTATTTTGAATGACCTGTTGCAAGGCTAAATTTCTGTCCCTATCCAATATACCCTCATTTCCCGTGGCAGTCTAAATTTTTCCGACCTTAATCCCGGACGCCCCTCTTACAGAACCTACCTATTGTATTTATTGTTAATTTGTTCTCGTCCTGAATATGCATGAAATATTTGCCACTGGACGTTAAGCAACCAACAATCAATCAATCAATCTTATTTTGAAAACAAATGAACCATACTGGCTGATAAAAGCGAATTATTATTTTACTATTTCACTTTCATTCATGACTGAACAAAAAAAAATCATAATTTTTTTTTTTTATATCTCGTGCATGGATTGTCTTGTTTATACGGTGTGTATGCAGCTTTCGGGGAAAATACGCTGTCTTGCACTTTACCAAAGAGAACACTTTTTTTTGCTGACTTTCATATTCGCACATCTATCAACTTATTATTATCAAACGTCGATGAATTACTCATCTTACTACTTACAACAAACAGTAAATATGTATCGAATTATATATTGACACAACACAAATTAGAGGACAATTAATTTCTATTTGAATTTATAAACCTGAGAAATTACGTTTAATATTTTTTTTATCAAATGTAATTATTGTGATAGAGTTTAATAGCAGTGCATCATAAGTCTTTGAAGGCTGGCTGATATGTTAATAATGTGTTTAAATATGTTGATTTATTATGTAATATCAGGTTGCACTATAAAATGAAATATATATATATATATATATAGGTATACATATTGACAGGTTGCACTCAGATATTAGGCTACGTTGTGCATTAATTTCAACAAGATTTTAAAATTATGAATTCATTCTGTAATGTGTATAAATTTTCAAATCGAACGTAAATTATGTCATCTGTTCCTTATTAATTCTACATACTGCTAAACTAAATAGTGTATTACATGACCTTGCTTCGCACTTAAAAAGTTTAATCTTTACAAATTTTGTTTCTGTTGTATAATTTTATATTAATAAATTTTGTGATTCTCGTAAATCAATATAACTTAATTTTGTGTTCAGCCATGTTGTTTAGAGGAACAAAAATCATAGTATTGTTATAAACACTCAGGTTTGTCCATCATCAAATATTAGCCGACGTCGTCATAAGTATTTATTGGTTATACATCAAACTTTGTATGTTATTTCTACCTCACTTAGTTTTAAGGTTGTGATTTTTTTTATTTCTGTCTTGATGTCTCGAAATGAAGCATAATTGTTTATATACATGTAAGACAACAACAACAAAAAAAGGTTTCATTTACAAAGACAATTTTTAAGTTCAAAGAATTTGGAATGGAACATTATAAATTTGATGGTAATAGGAAATATACGTTGTATGTGTATATCAAATTATCTACCTTACCCGATATACACACAAAAAAGTAGCATTGAAACGTTTGAAATAAGATAATAGATCGTTTGTGTGCAACACAAAACTGGATCGAAACAATGACAATTCCATGTGAATTTGACCGTTAATTAAATTTCGTCAAAATCAAGCCATGGAAGCATGAGAAAGTAATGTGTTTCTATACTTAATGTGTATATAGTCGTTAGCAATTTTAAAAGAAATCTGAAGGAAATTTACTACTTATTAATAACCTCGCCCCATAATAAAACTAATGTTTTGTAAACGAGGTCAGATGATACACTTATTTTTCACACTTATTTTCTACAAGACGATTTATTCATTGTATAAGAAACGATAACAACTTTTAACAAAATATGGTATATAAGACGACACGAGTTGTCTTTCTTGTACAAAATTCTGAACTAGATAATGGACGGCTAAGATGTAAGCATTTACAAGTATGACGTAAGGAAAGTGACGATTGTCGGATGAATATAATCAATAGATGATAATAACAATAGCATTCTAAGACTAATAAATTACGGAACTTGTTAGCAGTGCCCAAAAACATGTTTTTCGGACATATCAAATTTTATTTTTTCATGCATAATTATGAAATTCAATAATTTACAAAATTATGGGCTCGCATAATATTACTAGCAACATTATTTAATCTCATAATATTATGGATTTTCATAAATCATATGAAATTAACCATTTCCATAATATTATGGAGTTCGCTAAGTGCCCCGACTGTAATAACAATATATAGAATGATTATTTGAACAAATGTCTTTCTAACCAAATGCAGGGTAATCCGATAAATTCGAATAATGAGCACTACAACCAACGACTGTGCATACGATGACCTGCTAAGGGGAACCAAGGGATACTGTTTACAAGGATGTTTGTCCAGTCTTAAAAGGTTATCTTTCGAAGAAGCAATACTTAAATTAAAAAGTAAGATCAAATCTGTGATAAACGAAATAGATACCAACAACTTGTCTTACAGCGTAGTGGAGACATTTACAATAGGCAAGTCTTTTGTACGACAACGACATACGGCCGGATCACAATTCATGGGCTTTGATGATTTAAAGCCTAGTACATGGAGGCTTGCTGATGGTGTAAATTCAAGATGGCGAAATTTCTATGAAAAGGAGGGATACGACGGGTTAATTGTCCTTTGTGTGACACCAAGATACATAATTCCTGCCAACTCAATGAATGTTGGACCTCAACTGTATGCGATTGCTTTGGAACAACGCTTAATTCAAGACTTTTGCTTTCTTGAGAAGGATAATAGACTTGGAAATATATCATTTGATGTAGGTTCTAAAGCAGAAGAACCTTTTGCTGGGTTGGTATATTTTGCATACAAATTAAGCGAAAGTCCTGTCACTGACCGATGGACATCACAAGTGTCGTATATCTCGGAACGGTTTAGCGACTAGGACACTAGCGCAAAATGTTAATTTTGAATGATTCATTCGATCAATTTATAATATAGTTTACTGTGGTGACCACGGTTACACAGTTATCTAAAATCAGAAATAATGTATACGTTTTAAATAACTACATTTTTAAGTTACAGCTTTAAGATAATTTAACATGAAGTGTTGATTACAACAACCTGAAACTAAGTATAGTTGATCATTGTAATGTGGTCTTTCAAATTGCATGACAAATTATAATTTTGACACTGTATTTACTATTCCCTAAACTGAAGGATAGTGATATGGCGCATTGGGTCTTATGTAGTTTTCATATAAAAAATAAATATTAATAAACAAGTTTCTTTCTTTTTTTTTTAGTCTACAACAATTGTAAAGTAGTAAACAAGTAATTTTATTGTTTGCACATCCTTTCTTGGTTTCAAAAGAAGTGACTTTATAGTGGTCTTATCCCCTTTTAAAATTAATATAATGTGATAAAACTTTTGGTTTTAAATTTAAATATAAATTTGATTAATTCCAACGAAGTACTCCAACATTTAGTTAAATTGTATGAATGCATGATAACAATTGCGTTATCTATAATGGAAATGTACAACTATCACTTCACACTACTAATGTCATGGACATTTGATTTCATATCTATCTATTTTTGTTTTTTAAGGATTAGTTATGGAATGTCAAATATTCATAAACAACTGCAGCTTCTCTTCCTAAAGTGAACAGTATATAACAGGACCTGTATCTATTATTGTTAATTTCAACTTCAAACATATTATTGTTGCAAGAACTTAGAATAGAAGGCTTGTTAAATTTCAAATTATTTCAAATATTATTCTTCTGAACAATGCAAATATTAAACGAGTAAAATTCGATGGAGAATTGCTGTGGATAGAACAACAATTGCTAGGAAATGAAAATCAATCTTCAACATCAAGTTTCACTTTAAATGGAATTATAAAATATTTGTGTCTATACTTATCGGGCAATTAATCCGGTCCGTTTCAGTTTCACCAACATTTCAGAGAATTCAATATATTTTTAAACTGACATAATAGTTTACACACATTTAAAAAGGCGTATAAAACTTTATAACATATTCTTGGTAATTAAACGTGGCTGCCAAGACTAAAAATAGAACATGGGATTAAAACGAAAATTTTGTTTATTATCTCGTTATCTTTATGAATAAATATAATCTGACTGTAAACACAAATGTTTAGAATAACACGATATGTATTTGACCAATTTAGTGAACAACTAAAAGGAATAATTGTCTTAAATCCAAATCTGTTTGATTCATTTTATACAGTTTTGGCTTTCATTTTTTTTCAAATTAAAGAAATTCAGCAAATCATTCAGCGCAAAATGTCCTACAAATAATTAAAATTGCCAGTCGACTCCTCATGGCGGCAATTTTTGTTCCCTCGAAATGACATAAAGATCACAAAATTTATAGTTTTTACCTAAATAAAGTAAGTAGATGTATTGATGTTATTGATATTTAAATGAAAACCGTTCAAACCTTTATACCTCAACAATTGCATAACAAAGAACCACTTAAAAGTTCTAATACGTATAAAAAACAGTAGTAAAAGAGGGGCGAAAGATACCAGAGGGACATTCAAACTCATAGATCGAAAATAAACTGACAACGCCATGGCTAAAAATGTAAAAGACAAACACACAAATAATAGTACACATGACACAATAGTCAAAGTTTCTTCATTAACTTTACGCCAGCTATATAAGATGTCAGTGTAGACAACAATGTTCCTTCAACATGAGAAAGTGAAACATCAAAGTTTAAAGATGATCCTTATTGGCATACAGTGTCGACAATTATATTATTTGTTTGTGCGTTTCTCGGTGATGAGTGTTCCTGAGTGTGATTGTGCTGTATTTCTGTCTGTAGTATTGTCATTTGATATATTTTTTAACATTGTCATATAAGCAGGAGGTTTGTCTAGTCATTTCAACAAACAATTTTTTTTTCTTAAAATGTCTTGTACTAAGTCACGAATATGGCAGTTGTTATTAAATAGGTATGTTCTATGTATGTTGGCGTTAGTTTCAGACACAAGAGGGTTTTACTGTTTAATTTCCATTGCGTATGTATATTTAACTTTATTTGAACTTTTATCGAAAAAGTGTATACTATTTACGGTATGTACAATCACCTACAAAAAAAAATGTCGGCGTCTTTGAAAATATACAACATATAAGTACTACAGAAACTTTTTTGTTGGCGGTTTAGTCAAAATTACAATGAACAACAGGAGCTTTTTTGTTGGCGTACATGTTAGATTTATTGGTATCTTTTTTAATTTATTTAGTCAGTTGTTTTACATGTCTGCTATATGTGTTAACAAAGTTATGCTATGCGTTTTGCATCAATTACCTTTTTATGAATTAGGCAGTTAGTTTTTCTAGTTTGCTTCGTTTCACATACCTCTAGACAGGGCCTTAACAGCCGACTATACAGTATGTGATTTATTTTCTCATTGAGAAAGGCAGTACGGTTGCTTATAATTTCTTACATTTACTTCATTTTAAATCTTAGACTAGTGGATAGTCTTATGAGAGATTAACGGAAAGTGTTGAAACCGACTGTTGACAAATTAATATGAAAAGGGTCGTCTCCAAAGTGACTTTCACGGCGCACTTAGTTTATGAGATATGTTTGTGAAAATAAAACCATTGTCCATAGACGAGAGTACTATCGTTCCAGCGGCAAAACGCAGTTAAATTTGAATTCACAGTTACCATAGCAGCATATTCCAATCGGATGTACTTTCAAGTTTATAAACCAGATTTTTTTCTACATAATGATGTAGCGTACAATTAAAATAAATCACGTTTTGTGATAGAAATATTTTCCTGTTCCACAGATACGAAAAAAAGAAAGTTTAGTTAACCAGGTGTAGGAGAAGTGAGAACATATACAGTAATCAGTGCTGATGAAAATTAATTGATAGATGTGTGACAACTAATTAGAGGATCTGGATGCCATTCTGGCATCCAAATTTGGTTCGAATGTAAAATCAGTGTTTTACACAAGTCTGTCAGCCAATTACAGGCCAAAGTGGACACGTTTTTAAATTTGTCGAAATAATCAGTCGCAGTTTTGGAAGATAATTATCCAGGACCATTTTTTTACCTTCAATTTTGAATTTACATGTAACAGTTTCATCGGTTAAAAGCTCTGATGGTTAGGCTGAAAATTGATATAATGTTAATAGTGAACCATCTAACGACATGCGTATATGGGTCATTAAAATAAAATGTCTAAATCATAAATTTGAATAAATGTTTCCTAGTTTATATATCATTCTCCTTATTTTGTCTATCGTATTTTAACTAAAGTAACAGTATATGCAGTATTTAAACAGTTTAGACAATTAATACCACATCTCCTTATTCTTATATCTAAATGACAAATATATATTACTTCAACGAAATGAAGTTACACAGGCTGTATGCATTTTTGTTCTTCAATTTAAACAACTAACTCATACTTTCTCTTTTGCATCAATTTTTGTTGCAGAGGTTTCAGAAAATTTTGTCACCTGCTATTCCCTTTTATTGTGTGCTTAATTATCAAAGATTACATTTAAATAGACAATGTACTATAGAACCCTCTGACTGATCAAGAACAGGTAAACATTACTATCGTGTATTTATACATTTAAATTACACATATATAAACAGATCAATACTTCATACACATTTTCCAGTTGTGTATTGTAAAATTAATGTAAACACAACATGGTAATATGACAAATGTTATAATACGTGAACCAACTAATTCTAATAGCAATGTCGTCACTACAAATAATGAGGTTCCAGTCAATATTCGGACCATGACAAGAAGCGAAAATGATTGTAAATTTGTTGCAGACCTAAAGGTAGAAGCGAAAAAGGCCGAATACATACATGCTACCAGTGCAGGAAGGTAAGTAGCTGCTAGGCAATGCAATTCTGACAATTTTAAAAGTAGTGCAAACGATCATGTCGCTTTTTCTGTTACATTTGTTACCTCAAAGATGGACTGAGGTCTAGACGTACGGTCACATGCGCCGCTTCTGCTTGCGCGTGGCTGTACGTGGTTCCTTGATTTATGATATGTTAAAATTACGCCCTATCCAAGAGGGACGAAAGATTCCAGAGGGACAGTCAAAATCATAGATCGAAAACAAACTGACAACGCCATGGCCAAAAATAAAAAGACAAACAGACAAATAATAGTACAGATTACACAACATAGAAAACTAAAGACTAAGCAACACGAACCCCATCAAAAACTGGGGGTGATCTCAGGTGCTCCGGAAGGGTAAGCAGATCCTGCTCCACATGTGGCACCCGTCGTGTTGCTTAAAGCAACATGTTCAGGACCAATCATAGTTTTCAGGCGTTATTTCGGTCAACCATTTGTTCATCTACTTGTAAGATTTAAACAATATTTTCCTGTCTTGAAATATTTGCAACTGAACGTTGAACACATAACAGTCAACCGAGCTGATCGCGTGTCCGATATACTACTTATGAAAGTGCCTATACTTTTCCTTAAATATTCCTTTGCTCATTTCATTTTTGTTTGTATTACCAAACGAGTAATATTTATTTTATCTCCTTGATCAACAGAAACCGCGACAAATTATAATCATTTTTTGTAAATTAAGACATGTGACATAATCAGTAACACATTGTTTTCAAAATTGAGAATGGAAATGGGAAATGTGTCACAACAACCCGACCAAATCAGGCCACAATTGGTCTTCAACACATCGAAAAGCTTTCGAAGGCCACCAATGGGTCAACAACACATCGAAAAGCACCCGGAGGCTGGCTTCAGTTGATCTCTACACAAAAAGGCGAACTAGTTCAGTGTAAATCGACGTCACACTATATGTTTATATATGTTTTTATTCCACAGTATAAGCACCATTAAGCGAATCACGGAAAGAAACCACGAAGAACAAGATGATTGGTTCTACGAACGCAACTTTATAGCAGAGTACAATGGTGACCCGGTAGGGATATTGACATTATCATTTCCTGCAGATATGATCCCTGTGTAAGTGATATAGTTTTAAAATTTTTATCGAATGCTTTTAAAAACATTTCTATGAATCTTTTCTGTTTTTGGGAGATGACTGGTGGGAGTTTTTGAACAATATTTGTATTGACGCGTTGGCATTTCTACAATGTACTTGATTTGAAATAAAAATTAGCAACATGCCAAGCTTAGCATAAAATAAACCAAACCAACAACGCTACAACATATTATACCAGCTGTCAATTAAACCAAAAGTGTTTTGAGTGTATAATTAATATAACCGGGAGACGTATTTATATAAGTTTTTTCAAACTTGTTTTCGAATCCCATATTTGAATTTCATGTGACATTGTAATACTTTGAATTTTATGTGACATTGTAATACTTTGTCATGATACGGGTTATGTTCTTCTCATATATTTTATGATGGTATAATACTAAATCCCTAACGGGAGGGATTGTATTTGATATTCATATGATGAAGACATGATCTTTCAATCAGTTTAATTGAGGTCTAGAGCTGGCATGTCAGTAACTGCTAGTAGTCCGTTGATAATTTATGTATCATTGTCATTTTGTTTAGTTTCTTTTGTAAACTATTCTTTTGAACTGAGTTTTACTGTGCGTATTGTTGTGTGTTTGTTTTTCTACATTGGCTAGAGGTATAGGGGGACGGTTGAGATCTCAAAAAACATGTTTAATCCCGCCGCATTTTGCGCCTGTCCCAAGTCAGGAGCCTCTGGCCTTTGTTAGTCTTGTATGATTTTTAATTCTAGTTTATTGTGTATATTTCGGAGTTTAGTATGACGTCAATTGTCACTGAACTAGTATACATTTTTGTTTAGGGGCCAGCTGAAGTACACCTCCGGGTACGGGAGTTTTTCGCTGCTTTGAAGACCCATTGGTGGCCTTCGGCTGTTGTCTGCACTTTGGTCGGGTTGTTGTCTCTTTGACACATTCCCCATTTCCATTCTCAATTTTTTTTTTTTTTTTTGTAATTTTCATCAATATGTACTGTTAAAATATAACCGGAACAATAACCATGATAACATGGACTACGAAACAACACTCATAACGGTTTAGCGTACAGAATTTTTGTGAGAAAAACATCTGTATAGTTTGTCTTTATGCAACAATGCAAATCCATGAACTATTAAGACAGTGGGAATACTGGTAAACGAAATTGAACTTTATAAAGTTTGGCGCGTTCTCCGTAAAGAATCTGATTTGGGTATACGATAACAAATAACGTGCTGGTAAATAAAAAACACAGGTACATCGTTTTATCATTGTTGAGAGAAGTAGTGTGGTTAATTATACGCATGTTTGCTTGTGTTGTTTAAAAGACAAACAATAAGTTGTGATTTTAAAGAGGCAACACAGAACGTGCATGAAAATAATTATGTACAGAACAAGCTTTGTTGTTTTATAAATATGCCATTACAAATATATCGCTTATGCAAAAATTTCATGCACATGACTATTTGTACATGATTGGTAATTTTTTGTTTTTCTAATGTCCAGTGGCAAATGTTTCACGACACATTTCAATCTCAATAAAGTCTCCTTTGTATATATAGAAACATTTATCACCGATTGAACAGTTTACTATCGGTGTTACAAACACAATTTTAAACTCGTGCACAGTGTAGATGATGGAAACAATAATGCATTGAAATAATACTAGTAGTCCCTCTTTATGGTGAAATGACACCTTTTTTTCTCTTTGGACGGTATCTGAGATTAAATTACGTGTACACTATTCTTCACGTTCAGAAACAACACTGATGATGGCTGATCTTTTTTCCTTTTAATAGAATGTGTTCCGATAAGGAACACACATTGCATTAGTTAAACAAAACTTGCAAATTCTTGATTGCTTTATATGCATATGGTCATGGTGTTTCTATTACCACAGTAAATAACCTAAAGTTTTCGAACAATTGGAGCATCGGACTAATGAGGGTCGGACTGGTGGGATGTTGGACAAATGGGATGTCGAAATATCGGCGACCTCTTGTTGAACACAAATCATCAGCGCGATTCTGTTCATTTAGTAATCAATGACTTGTTCGTTTTAAGAAAAAAAAAGTTGATGGGTTTACTACAATGATGTTTTTTTTTAACTTTATAACTCAATACAGTTTATTACAGAAACTATTGTAAGTTGTGATTGATTATCTATTTCTAAATGTCCAGTGGCAAATATTTCATGCATGTTTAGAACCAGTTTACATTTGATACAATGAGTAGGTCCGGCAATAGGTGCTTATATGAATAAAGGAAGAAAAAATTGAAAAGTTACTGAAAAATTAGGACATACAAGATATGGACAACAAAATGGTGCAAACCCCTTTAAAGAGTGTTTTCGAGTTTTCTTTAACGTGCTAAACTCGTGGCACTCTCCCTTAACAACCCCTCGTGTATAACATCCCCATTCTGATCCGACGTGACTGCGCATTTATACATCCCGCACTGTCAAATGATCCACCACTTTGGTAAGGGTTTTACTTCCGGTCGGAAGAAGACCAATGTGACCATATTTCTACATCCAGTCATCCTAATAGTCTTGTTGGTTATGCAAACAGATGTCATATCATACACATGTTTTTTTTTTTAAATATTTTTTAATATTTGAAACAATTAATTTAATATTCATTTTCTATTCATTCTCTTTCCAGAAAAAGTGATTATGAAACAGAATTTGGATGTACCGATCTATGTGGGTAAGCAGTTATCAATTATTTAAATCGTAAATACATGTATTATCATGTAAGGAATACAACCTCTACATCATAGCACCATTATTTCCTTGTTAGATTTTGAAATTTTAATCAACTATTTTGTCTTAATTTCAAATATAGTTTACCATAACAGATTAGGTAAATATATCAAGAGCCCCTGTTGTGAGTTCTATTTTTTCTAAATAGGAATCAATATAATAGAAACAAGAATGCGTCCCTAGTACACGGATGCCCCATCCGCATTATCATTTTCTATGTGCAGTGGACCGTGAAAATGGGGTAAAACTCTAATTTGGCATTAATGATTAGTAAGATCATATCATAAGGAACATGTATACTAAGTTTCAAGTTGATTGGACTTCAACTTCATCAAAAACTACCTCGACCAAAAACTTTAACCTGAAACGGGACAGACGAACGAACGGATGAGCTAACAAACGGAGGAACGAACGAACATACGAACGGACGCACAGACCAGAAAACATAATGCCCATAAATGGGGCATAAAAAGAAAATGTGGTATAATTGCAAGTGAGCCAACACTCCACCAAACACAAAATAACTTTGCCTTTCATAGAAGTGCTTTCACCAAATGTAGATGTGGTGTAGCCCAACTGAAGATTGAGACTGGGAGATACTAAAATATTGTTTTAGAATAAAGAGTGTATGGTAGTTTGATGGAAGACAAAGCGCATGTTTTATGAAGATGTCCTATTTATGACGATTTTGGAAACCATTTGTATTATGTTGCTGAAACTGTTAATGAACATTTAAATATGTTTATGTATTATATATAAGAAATATGATAGTCTCATATAATTCTTTATCATATATTTAGTAGTATATACAGTAGTTTTTAATAATTTGATAAATAGCCTGCTATTTAATCCGTATAGCTCAACTTTGATGCGCACCCTTTATCACACCCCTTTATCACACTCTTATCCTTTTTCACACCCCTACCCTTTATCACACCCCTACTCAAATTTCTCATTTATGACAGTAGTGTTTCCGACTAAATTTACATGAAGATCATGTTTAAATTTATGCAAGCTTCTCAAGAAATGTTTTTCCTTAGGGTCCTAAATGAAACGGTCATTAGGGCGTGACGTCATTGTTTGGCATGTGACGTCACAGACGTCGAGCTTTCATATTTTCTGACTATAAACAAGAACTCAATGACAGATTAAATACCATACAAAACACATAAAATACAATTAACAAAATATTTCTATGAACAACAGGACGCAAATTGTAAGGTAACCCATGTGCTTCGGGTGAAAAATTAAGCAATTCTTTTAAAGCTTAAAAGAAGACAAAAGTAATTCTGAAGGTAACCCAGGTGCTAGGGATCAGAAAGCAGTTCATATATACTCTCCTGTTTAGATATATGATAAAGCGTATAAAACATGGTAAAATCCGTTATACATGCCGTATCACCCTCGACCAATATCATTCCTCGGGCCTAAAGGCCCTCGGGATGATACGGCATATGATACGGATGTTGTCATGTATTATTCTCTATGTATAGAATGATTCTCATTTTATGTAATATTGTTTTACAATTTAGGAATATCGATTGTACTTGTTCACAGATGAGATAAAACATTGAAATTTTACTTATGGTTTAGATTATCCTGTTTGAACAATGGTCTTGATGAAACTGTTGGAGAAGGTAGTTTATACGTCAACTATATCTATGTAATTGAAACATATAGAATGAAAGGTATAGAAGAGCACTTGTTGCAGATGGCATTGAAGGAAGCATTGAAAAATAATATATCAGTAAGTTAAATTAAACAATTACAAATACACACTTTAATTTTAGTACAAAACTAACATATGAAAATTAGAATACGTGGTATATTTGCCATTGAGACAACTATCCATTAGAGACCAAGTGGGGTAAATGTTAACAACTTAAAAGTAATTATTATGTTAAATCTTTCCCGTAAGACGTACATTATGCGAGACAGTTACACTACATTTGAAAATGTCATTGACATTTTGTTGGTACTTTATATTTTTGGCAAACCATTCCTACGGTATGATTTATTTTAAATGATTTACAGACGCTCTTTTGGGAGTCAACGGTGTCGACATTGAATGTAATGTTTTCATTCCAATAAAACGTGGCCTAACAGTCACCCTGCAGCATGTGTCTCTCTATTAGAAAGAAAGTCAATTCAATTGTATTACTATACACAGTAGACAACTGTAAACGTAAATCCGAATATTGAAATCATAATTAATGCAGTGCAACCCTAACTCTACATATCCATCCTCTTCTAAACTTTAACCAATCCAATAGAAACTTCCAAAGCCAATAGTGAATTGAGATAGTATGAGTTCCTTGGGATTTTGATAATCGCATGGGAACAGTCATTAGTAAGCATTTATTCATTCGTACATAATAATGGTAAATACACGTAAGAGGGTTACGCTTTCCATAGGCGTAAATTTTAATAGTACAGCGTTAAGCTTGTTAGTAAATAGAAGTAAATCAGAAAAGCACGAAAAATTCCAAAACCTGAAAGATAATGACAATTGCATAACTGGTTGATTTTGTATAATAAACACACGTTTTTTCGAACATTACCATGTGTTCTGTTTAAAAAGATTCGTGCACATTGCGTTATCATACGTACATAGATGGTACTATTACAATCCAAATAAAATAATATATGTGTATGTCAAAGGAACTGCAACCCAAAACGACACAGAAATCACAAAACCATTTGATATGTGTCGTGCAAATTAAAATTAGAACCGTGTGTTTATCTATTATTAAAAATCTATACTACTACAATAACGAGGTCAAATGTCTTAGTCGACATGACGTCAAAACGACGAATCAAAGATTTCAATTGCATTTTTAACTTATATAGGACAATGGTGCTGATAACAAAAATACTCTATTTTCAAATAATTAATATTACCAGTAATTGGCGAGTTCCGGGTCGAATCCGATACCGATATCAAAAGTACCAGTTACCAGTTACATAATCTGTACGTTCCGCCTCTTTCAGGCGCACCACAAACGGAGTATTTGTAATACTACACAACACGGGTAATAATCAAACCTGAACTTCGTCATTATACAGGGATTGACACACATAATCATTGTTAAGAAATATCTCTTCATATACAAATGTAGTTTCTGGTTGTAGTCATTGAAACGAAACCCAGGACTGATTGAAACAGAAAATGTTGAAAAGAAAACTACAACTTACAGTCAGCATGAATATAACAAATGCCAATACGAATACTTTAAATGCAGGCTGAAACCTCATAGTCGAGAGACATATATTATCATATACAACACAGCCAAACTTTGTATGTTTTGTCTTTCAGGTTATTTTTCTTTACGTCGGATTCGGTAATTCATATAAAAACCTATACTTAGATCAAGGATTTGCAATAGTTAACAAAACATGCTGCTGTATTTGGTGTTCTATGGGTGTTTGTGTAAGTTTAGATCTTAACAATTACATAAATTTTGTGAATATAATGTTGGTGTTATATACTTTCGTGTTGTTTTGTGGTTTTTATTATTAGTCAATTTTACGTTTTAGAACCATACATAATAATAAGTTTTTTACAAATAATCGGTCATTACTGAGAAAATGCATCAGTGAATATAGCTATGTATACTATTTTGTTTCTTATGATATGTAAGATAATTACTGGTGGTATGATTTCAACTTAGGAAATAATGAGAAAAATGAATTGAATTGTGCGCAATGCAGATAAGCAAAAGGAAAGCATAATAATGTCAGTTTTGAGTATTGACGCTTAGGTGACGACCATTTGATATTCTGGGGGGGGGGGGCAGGAGGATTTTGAAAATAAATAACTCAGCCTTGATAATCACAAAAATAAATGGTTTGTTCTGTGGTAGGTTGAAAATAAATAACCTGACTTGCAATGTATTAAAAATAAATAACTTGGCAGGTCTATTTGAGAGCATGAGATTGCACCAGATTCTTCATAAAATTCAACTTTTTTTTCAAAAAAAATCGGGAATCACTTCCCAAATCTTTGAATAATAAAAGTATAAATATTATTTAAAATACTTGAAATGTCTGAAAAGTGGGTTTCATTTAACTTGAGGTATATTGTCTCAGGAACACTTAACTCACTTTTATTACATATGGCAGTAACTACATTCAGGCAAATGCCTCATGTAGGAAATTTCAAAACCAAAAGCTTGTCTTCATATCAAATTGTTTTCACGGCAAGTGTCTTGCAAGAAGCAAGTTCTGTTCTCCCTCAGACGTAGCTCCTGTTTTTTGAGGATCAATGTTTCTTATTTATTTGTCTTTTGTTCATTGATTGCCCTTCTGTATTCTGTTAGTGTTGCATTCCTTTTGTAATTTAGTAATTTTGTTATTAACTTGATCAAGAGTTTAAAAAAAAACAGCAGCCACATACTTAACTATGTGAATCAAATTTTTGCTTTATCTTTGTCTTTTGATGTTGTTCCTAAAAACTCCTAAAAAAGTCTTACACTGAATCTATACATGTTGCTTTGAGACCAAAATATTGTCAAAAAATGATTAAAACAGAACTTTCATTTTCAGATTAAGAAAGGGTATGGGAAACACATTTTGCATCATTAGTTCTACAGCAACTTGGGGCCTTCAGCGGCTCCAAAACCCTTCAAATTTTTTGTAGACTCGCTCCGCTTGGCATAAATGATTTGCAATACAATAAAAGACACTTATTACAGCCAAACTTTAATATCTTGTATGTATGCAATACATGTATATGCAGTTGGGAATTCGGAAGATTCATTTCTACAGATGATGATGATTAATTCTGATTAAATGGTACATAATGATTGGACTACTCATTTATTATTTATAATAAAAAATGAATTTAAAAATTGTATGTTTTCAAATATTATAAATATAGTTGTGAAAATAAATAATCAGTCCTTGGTTTAATGAAAATGAAAAATCTTGCTTCAACAGTGCAGAAAATAGATAATCTGTCCTCTTAGTTTACAAAAATAAATAACCGATCAAAAACAAATCCTCCTGCCCCCCCCCCCCCCCCCCCCCCCCCCCCCCCCCAGAATATCAAATGGTCGTCCCCTTATCACAAAGTGTTTTCGAGGCGATCCTATAACAATTTATTCATCGATCAGGTTAGGAATACCCATATTGATTCGAATTCTGCTCTTCCGTGTGCATTTGTTTGAAGTAAATGTACGTTACGTGTTCTATGTTGTAAAACTCGTCAAAGCCAATAAAATCTTACCAATCATTAGGCTATCAAACAGAACTTTATTTTAAGTACTAGTAATTGTTTCAAGATGTAGTGTGTTTGGTCTGATCATAACAGCTTATGATGCGCAGAATAATGTGTAATAAAAAAAAACACTCTTACATGCGCCTGAATTACATATGCTGGTCCCGTGTCAACAGACTTGCTAGTGCTTGTCTCAGGTGCAATTCATCTTTTTTTTTAATTAACTTCAGACAACTCAGAGTTTGAAATATTGCACAGGCATCTCCTACTTCTTTTGAACTACATGCTGACCACTTAGACAATGAGTTGTTATTTGTTGGTGTTATTAGATTACTGTCTCATTAATTAATACTCAAGTGTCATCTCATTTTTTACAGTGGATAAAACATTCCCCGACAACTTACTGAAGCATGACTATAGTAAAACTTTAATTCAGATAGGATAAGGCACAAAACCTATGGAGTATAATTTCTTCTGCGCAATCTTTGGTTGACTGTGAATTGTTTTGTAGACTGCAGTTTGTCTTTTCGTCTTTTTGCAATTCTAATTAATTTACTGTTCAGTGGGAGTCTTTTGGGTCTAATCATGATGCGGGATTGGTCGGTTTTTTCTAAGCAAAACACGTGAAAAGTCCAAACTATTTTGCGTGAAAACGGGGAACGAAGTTTGGCAGGACACGGGTAATACAGGCGCTACAGTATTATTACAATATTAAGCAGGATACTGTATTTAGACAAATCAATAAGCGTGATCCGGGATTAAACTCGCTCCCGATGGGAACCCCTGATAAGTTCTTAAAAAATAATTAATTTACCGCACCCCAAATTAATTAGTCGTTACTTTATGTTCTATCTGACATTTATCTCATGCAAATGTTATTTCTTTTTTGTGTCATTTGTTCCGATAAAACTTTTTATAATAGTCAAAGGTACCAGGCTTATAATTTGATACACCAGAGGCGGGTTTCGTCTACATAAGACTCATCAGTGACGCTCAGATCAAAATAGTTTATATATATTCATTTTGATGCAAATACAAAAATATCAATTACCCTTATTATATTTGTAGGGTTTTTACAAAATGGAAAAGCGTCTGGTTTTGTAGCCAAAGATGACATTAACTTGGTTTAGAATAGGCCATTAAGATAACAGAATACCGCAAAAAGTAGTCAGACGAACGAAAACAAGAAAATTGATTTTTAGTTATTTTTAATTGGATAGTAAAGACCATCTGTTCAAGCGTGTAATGCAAATGAATACGTCTATGTCCGTTTGCTGCAACTGCATTTTCAATTTACAATATGTACAATCCTTTTTTAATATATTGTGATGATTTTTTTATAACTGTGCAACATAGAATATGTCGTTCTGTAATAATGTGTATTATTTTTTACTATACAATAAGTTTTGTATCTAGCATTAGCTGTTGACTATTGTTTTTTTTTTTTAATGTGTTTTTTTATTTTTATTTCTACTGTAAACCATGTTCAGCTTTAAGAAAGTTTCCGGATCTAGAGTAAATAAAAAAAGAAGATGTGGCTTGATTGCCAACAAGACAACTTTACATCAAAGATCAAACGAAGTGAATGTAATCAATTATAGGCAACCGTACGGCCTTCAACAATGAGAAAAACTCAATTGCGAAAACTAACGGCATAGTTTTTAACAAAACAATTCACAGAAAATTAATGTTACATGCATAAACCAAAGACAAACATTGAACTACAGCCTCCTGGCTTGATACATGCACATAAAGAATGTAGCAGGGTTAAACATGTTTGTGAGCGCTCAGCCCTCGCCTAACCTGGGACAGTGGTGAAACAATACAACATAGGAAGACATTACAAAAATCCGGTGAAAAGGGCCGTATCATTGTTAGTAAAATTTGATTAGAATGACAATTGAAATCGACGAGCAATCAAACCGGTGTAAACATGCAGGCATACTAAGTTATTCATAATTGATACTCAAAACTACAATTGCCTCCGCCTTCAACAATGCATGTATAAGTCGAAGATTCTTAGGGATTATTCATAGGAAGTGTTGTATAAGACTTAGATTTATTTATTGTGGTAGCTATCTGTTTCATACGTTGTTCGGTGTTTGTTTTTTTATCGTGTGTGTGTGCACGTCTATTATATTCATATGAATCATATGTTGGTGGTTGGTGTAATCTTGTTTACTGTCCTATATTTATTATAGAACATAATATTCTTTTAATCTAGAATGTCTTGATTTGACCATGTCATGATGACAATAGATTTCATTTAGTGAATGGATAATTTGGGGTATTTAATACAATTATACAGCAACCAGGAAAATCAAATCATCATATATTATCAAACAAATTCAAGAGGTTAAACAAACTTGTTTTAGCTGTATTAGTTGTCTTGAAGCCATATATCACCATTTTAACTACCATTTTAAGAATGTCATTCCTACTGTTAAAAACAATCAGCGTCATTACAAGTGATGTATGTAAGAAGTCTGCCTTTGGTTTTATAAAGTTTTCAAAGTAATTTTCAAAAATCCAAAAGACATATAAGTACATAGGTAATTTAAAATAATCAAAATGTTGATGGCAGCCAAAATTACACATGTTCAAATGTAGCATCGAGCGATTTAGAAAAGTTAACATAAATAAACATACCGAATGTCACACTCGAAATCGTCTAGAGTTATTTCAATGTGCATTGAAGAAGGGATATTAAAATCTTTCTAGTGAACACTAGAGTCGGAGATAACAAGGAATATTCAAAATCATAAATCAAAATCTAACTGACAACACCAATGCAAACACTGCGTTTAGACAGGCACAACAATAAGTGGCGTTGTGAAAATACCGAGAAAAAAACATCAACTAAATAATTGTTGATTGAAATACATCATGCCTACGTTATGGCAAAATTATGAGCACTTTGCTAATTTGCATAGCGGCCATATTGTCTTGTCATGACGGCAGCCATTTAAATATATATGCAAATATACTTATTTCTATATCCCATCGACAATTTTTCCGCATAGAAGTGGATCCTACATGTTTTGCCTGCTGTTCGTGTACACGCGAGCGCGGCTTGAAGACTACTTGAAATGTGTATAGTTTGTCAGGTGTTCTTCCATAGGCTTCTGAATGTACAATTAGTGTGTTACACAGGTGCTCCCAAAATGGAAGAAATAACTCAGAGAAGAGGAAGACAACCTAGAACACTGATGATAAAAACATTTCTCAGTGGTGCTAGTTTTTTTCTTCTGTGCGGGTGCGAGTTTGATAAAGTGATGCAAGCTCTAATAATAAGTGAGAGAGTTTGAGTGTGTGAGTTGGTCGTGTGCCGAGTTGTCATATTTTCAAGACAAATTGAATAACAAAAACACAAAATTAAGGAATGTAAAAGCTATTCAAATTGAGAGTGAAATAAAAGAAAGGCAATTGATATCAAAGGAACCTTCAAACTCATTAGTCAAAAATAAACTCACAAACGTCATGGTAAAAAACGAACCAAAAGACAAACAATAGTACACAAAACATAACATAGAAAACTCAAGGCTGAACAACATGAACCCCACCAAAGAAGAAAACAGCATTTGTTATGCTTGGTCCATGTATATATCTCTACAAGCTTAACTAGTCGTATGAGTATGCAGTTACCGGCAATTATGAGTCTTTAACTGTAAGAGTTAAATTTAAAAAAAAAAAACAAGCATTTCGGTATATTTGTGAACAGTTGAATTACTCTACTACCAAAGTAACAAAACTCTATAATAAGGTGAATTATTTTACGAAAATGTCTAGTCTATATTAAAAACTCACAAACAAATAAAAAAAAAAGCGACGAAACACTTGTGGATAGAGACAAAACTGTAATGATTTCATTAACGATACAATATAAACAAAAGTAATCAAATGTACGTGCCAATTGCTTATAACGTCTTCACAAGACTCATCCGTAACGTAAAATCTCTTGAATTAGTTGGAATAGCGTTTTATTTTTGAATGGGTTCACAAGACTTTAACATTTTCGACTGCAATTGAGATTTAAATGTGACATTTGTCATTCTATTTGCACATGTTAGAAGAGACATACAAGCTCTTATAATTAAAAAAAAATAAGAGGTGTTCAAGATTAACACAATTGCTTATGCATCATCGAAGATCGCAATGAACAATATTAATTTGTTCTAACAGTGATGATATGTATGTATCAATCGAGTTCACCGTCATGTCACCATCTATACCTATATGAAATGACGTCGATGCTATTTCTAACATAACCTCATACTGTTCATCACTCTGATCAAGTCCAACCACGAATATTTCTACATTTTCTTTTAAAGTTTCAATAAGTGTACTTTCTCAATTGGCATATCATTCTGGTAATTTGAAAAGACAACAAGAAACTTCTTTGCTGACAAACGTGCACCTTTTGCACTATCAAAGAATAACGCATTGGCGCTGTTAATCAAGGCTGTAATATTGGTATTGGTATCTGTAGTTTTAACAAAAGACGACAACTGTCTTTGTACGTTTGGTCGATTAGTTTCGTCATTGTACTTATTAAAATCAAACCGTTGATTTGATGAAGATGCATACGTTAACAAGGCAATTTGTGTGTTCATCGGTCCGAGTTTGAGTCCGGATAATATTTTATTTATTATCGTAGGCACTTTGGTGGCTAAGTCTAAGTTTGTCCAACCATTCGAAGTATCCACAGCAAATAAGACATCTGCTTCTTCAGATCTTTGGCAAACTACAAAAGAAAGTTAAAGTTAGAGCACTATAATTTGTTGGCATTATTCTCTCTCCATTTTCAAAACTCCTTTAGTACTAAATGATATGTAGGAAAATCAAAACAAATTCATTGTTAAAAGACATACAATTGAGAATTTGATTTCTCATTGTGATTTGCCTGTAAAGTCTCATATCATATAGTAGACTTTAGTCCTTATGTGATCTTTTCATTTATTTGTTTTAATGAAGGCACAATAAACCTGAGTTCATGTGTTAAATTTTTGAATTCGTCGTTTACAGTATTACATTTAGGTGTGTGTGTTTACTCTTTGACACATGTGTACTTGTTCCTTCATTAAGGTTAAATCTTTGATTTGAACTAATACTGATTACAATTATATTATTGTCGACAACTTCATAACTGATAGCTGCCAATAGGTTACAAATTACAGGAAACTTTAACGTGATAGTGAGTATAATACGCGATGCGTTTTTGTGACAACTTTATAACGATAATAAAAAAACACAATCGAGGTATATTAATAGTAAAAATATATATTCAACTGCGACTAATGCCACAGGAGCTGCTGACTATTTCGACACAGTTTATTTACTATTATATTTTGTGTTCTTTTCTTATAATCTCTTTTCTTATTGCCATGACACCCTTCTTCGACTTGAATATTAGTTCTGAATATTCTCTTGATGTCATAATATTTTCTTAAACCCAGTTAATTCGAGATCGTCTTTTTAGTTAAGCCCTTTAGAATTTGATAAACACAAAAACTATATAGATATAGGAAGATGTGGTATGAGTGCCAATTAGACAACTCTCCATCCAAGTTACAATTTATAAAAGTAAACCATTATAGGTCAAGGTACGGCCTTCAACACGGAACATTGGCTCACACCGAACAGCAAGCTATAAAGGGCATGTATGATGTTGTAAACGATTAGTTATCGGTGCTACTAAATAAAAGCATTGCTTTACGTTTAGACTATAAGCTATATTTTACTGCTGCAAATGTATTGTACTTTCGTCTTCAAAATGATTTCCGATTCAAAATCAGTTAAATGTCAATTAATAAATTATATAAAACTCACTATTACAGCTTTGGTCAATTAGGGCATTCATCAAGTAGTGCCACAATCGGTCATTATTGTACGGGAATAATTTTTCACTTCCTCCAACAATAACAGACAGGAAATGATGGGACACATCTTCCCCCACAGCCACTGCTAGCGTTTCTATTTCATATCCACTAACCGTCGATATCAAGCTCGGAGTAGATGGCAGTCCGTCCGATAAAAGAATTATATACTTTTTCACCTGACTGCTTGATACAACACGATTTCTGTTATACAAGATATTTACAGCATGGTTGAGGCCCTGTGAATTTCAGATATTCCGCCTCTAGGATTCATCTGAGTAACAAAATCATCGAATTTGATGTTATTCATTGAACTGTCAAAGTTCAGCTCAATGTATGAATTATCTGCATAGGAGATAATGGCTACCTGGAAATTGTTTAGAGTTATCTCCCATTCTTTAGTAACAAATTTAATAAAGTTCTTTGTAATGTTGAAATATCCTTGAGAACAACTGTAAGAACTGTCGACTACAAATACTACATCAGTTGGATAAGGCTTGCACAAGTCTATTTTGAATAGAAAAACATATTCAAATGAGTATTATCAAAATGGTAATTTATTTGAAAACGACTTCATGCGACTACAAATTGACCCCAAAGATTTTATAATTGTTTTATATAAAGGTAACGAGAACTCTTCTTGTTTCATCTTATTAATATGTCATGCAGATTATTTCAGTCCTGCAGATCATAATTTACTTATTGCTTTTAGAGTTTGCTTTCAGTAACTGCGAATACTCTTAGATCGGTACTTTGTGCCTCTTGTTTTGATTTTAATTTGTTTTGTGATCCATGGCATTATGATCAGTCCAGTCATTTTCTACAATTTGTTCGTATTTCATACTTTAATAACACTATCCAAGGTTTGTGAAAGGGTTGAGAGCTCACAAACAATGTTTAACCCCGCAACATTCTATATATGCCTGTCCCTACTCAGGTGCCTGTAAATTCGTGGTTATGATTGGGTCCTGTGCGTCTATTAGCTTTTCTTTTCATTTTTTGGTTTGTTTTAATTGCTTTAATTGTTTGTGTGTCAGGGCCTTTTATAACTGACTATATGTTATAAGTTGTGCTCATTGTTAAAGTCCATATGTTGACCTAAAGGTGTTAAAATCAAGTTGATATGGACTCTTCTATATAATTATCTCATTAACAATCATGCAACATATCCTTATTTTATACAGATATTTTAGAGTAGATTGCAACCACCAACATACAATTTGAACCGTCAACACGAATGGTTGTTTTCAACTTTATCTGCCTGAGTGTTCTGTTTATAATATACGTTTTAGATCATCAATCATAAATAGATTCCTTCTTACATATTTTGTTTTTTAAAAATCATTTGTAAAAATAAAATATTTAGCAAAGAAAATTAAACTTAAAATCATAAAAAAAACATAAAAAGGTAATATTACACTTTCACGTTTTGTGTTCTTATGGTCAAATTAATGAAAGAGTGTTGTTGGACGCCTTTATTTATTTTGTTCTATCTAGATAAAAAAATATAATGACTTTTCATTAAAACAACTATCCATTTAAATGATTTACCTATTTCACAATATTTTCCTGTGTAATAATCTGCACAGTTACATATAAAACTCATCAATCCATCGATGCATGTCCCGCCATTGTGACACGTGACACCAACACAGTAATCTATATCTAAATTAATCAAACAATATTGAATTAATCATTATTTTATTTAATACTGTTTAATTTGAATTTGGTTGAACATTGTTTCTTGCAATGTCTTGCAATCTAATACTAGAAGAGCTATACTTAAAATTACATTAAGTGTTAGAGTGAAGTGCAGGTCAATGTTTATTCACTTAATGGTTTCATACTGAATATTCATGTCATATTTGTCACTAAATGCTTTTATTAATATATTGCTGCATGTGATTTCGATAGATTTTTTTGTGTCCAAACTGAGAAACTAGAATAACAAGTCAATGGATACATACACAAAACATCTTATTTATTGTAAAATCAATATATTTTAATATTTTAGGTGGGTTTTTATGGGATAAGCAGAATAGAAATAATGACAAAAAAAAGAGGGAATAGGGAAGTTTTGGAAAACAAATATATCTTGATTGATTGGTTATTGGTGTTTAAACGCCACTTTTGCCACCTTTAATTGTTATAACCGTTATTGTAAAGCGTGTAAGTTGTGATGTTGTGTTGTCAGATGAAATATGACGCGTCGAGAATAGTAAAAAAAAGCAAAATGAATGTTGTATGAAATGTTAGTTTAATTTCGATTTATAAAATATTTTCGGAATTTGAAATTTCCTCGAAAAGAAATGATGTGATGGTTAATGGTATTAATTGGAAGTTAAAATCATTATAGTAAAGACTAAAGAATTCCTGGCTATATCTTGGCAGTCAGATTTTATTGTTGGAGTTGGGCGATGAAACCGGAAAAAAGCCAATTTTGTCAGAAAACACTTGAAACTAATAAAGAGGAGTTAGTAATACGGTCCTTGAATATAATTGAAAAAAAATCTAGATTAGTATAACATGAAACAATTAAGAAAAAGGCTAAACAATTAAGAAATACAGAAATGAGGAGCCAGATCCAAACCCTTTTATAGACATTCAATAAAATTGACAAAAATGACTTCTTTAATGACTGAGTTGATCAATTTGATTGTTTGTTTTTGATTGGCGTCTATAATCAGCAAAGCTATTAGCTAGTAAGGTTGTTTAATTGTTATTGGAAGCAAACCTGTTTGACAGTTATGACCTGTGAAGCCGTCTAGACACAAACACGTGTACTTAGATCCACCAGTCCAGATGCATGTACCTTGGTTTTGACATGGCTGTGGACTTCGTTGACATGGATTTGTCAACACATCTGGAATGGTATACTTATTAATTAAAACTTTTCAACATGATTAAATATATCAAAACAAAATCAACAGAAGTCTGGAAATAGATACGAAAAACACAACATTATTATGGTGAATTTGTTTTCTTTGTATCGAATGCTTGATTACTAAACTAAACGGGTAACTTCTTAATAAGTATTTTGTAACTAGTTATGCAATAGAAAAGATACGGTTAAACCACTGCAACAGTAATTATTTTTGCGATTACGATATTGCCTATGAATTCGCGTGCATTTAATTTCGCGGTATTTCGAAAAAAACATAAATAACGTTAATTAGGCATTTATTTGTTGAACAATATGAAAGAAAATATATAAATATGAATCAATTATCAAGTCAGTCATCCGTTTTGATAAATGTTTAATAATCCGATTAAGTCATTAATTTCTTGATATAGCTGTCATATTTGGCTTGGGCTATTAAAAGTTTACCCTTTTACTCTTAATTGAATTTCTGTAAAGACACATATGTACTGTTGTTTTGACAGTTCCATGATTCTGTTAACATGGTTAAGGCTATCTTAAGCAAACAGGGTAAACAAACATCTACAATAATATTTATTTAACTGTTTTAATGTTTTTATATGCATGAAATCTAAATTTAAATTCGCGTGTACTTATTTTCGCGAAAAATGTACATTCCGTGAAACTCGTGAAAAAAAGTACATTGTGAAAATAAGTACATATACAGTCATTGATAATCTAATTTTCGGTGTTGTGGTTTGTCAATTAGTCAAAGATGATTTGTATTAGCAAAGTGCAGCATTCAATGGATACTTATATAATAAAATCAGGTTTTTTACTTAATCAGAAATGAAAACGATTATTTGATGCAACCAGCTTGATATCATTATCGCAAAACAAATACAAACAAAACAAATTCACCATAGTTTAGTTTAGTTTAACCTAGTATATATTTCCAGACTTCTGTTGAGTTTGTCTTATATGATTGAAACATATTCTCAACGCTTAAGCACATGAATTGCATAACAAATTTTGCATTATGTTTAGAGGTACACTAAAATATATAGAAGGTTTAACACTTTCTCTTGTTTACATTTTAAAATGTCAAAAATAAAACAAAATTTTCGAAAAATTATGCAACACATGTTACTCTCAAATATGAAAACGTCGATCTGTTTTATGAAACTCTCATAGAACTTTGATCAGATCATTGTAGATTCGATGCAAAATAGCACATTTAATAACAATAGCGTCATTTTCGATCAAAAATACTACCGAGTCAAATCGCTGTTTTTATACGGCAATGGTGAGGTAGGATTTTTAGATTTCATTCATTTTCTTAATACTAACCAGTGCACGTTTTAGATTTTATGTCATTGTATACTTGACCTACCAAGTCAGCATAGCTGGACACCATAAAAACATAACTCTGATTTGTTGCTATCTTATCCAGTTGGTTTCTGTTCACACCATTTCCAACACCTACTGCGTACACAATTATTCCAAGCTGATGAAGCAAGCTTCCACCATCTTGAACAGTGGACTGACCGTCGGTAAAAAACATCAAAATTTTAAGTGAGAAGTCTCGTGCTCCATTAACGCTTTGAAACATGCTATTTTTAGAGAAGCTCAACGCCATTTCAAAATCTTGACTACCACTATGGTAGCTTATCTTGTCTACATTCGATTTAATGCTTGATTTATCATTACAGCAACTAAAGTGAAAACCCTTTCCCATTAATGTATGGAACGCAAATGTACTAATTTTTACAGCTGTGTTCCCTATATCAAACACATCTACAAATTGTTTAACGAAATCGAGATTTTTCTGAAAGTTAGCTGCACCGACACTTCCTGATTCGTCAATTAGAAATCCAATATCTGCTGGTTGATTGGAACACACTGTAAATAGAATGCATTGCTGCTTTACATATTAGCTGCTCAATGAGGTAACATATATATAAATAAAACAGAAGGTCTAATCTTTCAATGCAAGCGTAACCATGTGTTGTTTTTATTTATTATTTCGACTTTTGTTTTTATCATAAATTGACATAGGAATAAAAGCCTGGCATCCATTGCTCTTATTTCTTGATACTAATTTTTAATTTACTATTCTGCTTTATCAAATTGTTTTTAATTTGTATTGGTTAAAATCTACTCTGCTCGTCAGAATCAACAAATGTTTCTTTTGCTAGATATTGACTTTCGATTTTAGCGTTTTTACGGTTCCATTATTGTCCATTTTTAATCGTGTTTGTTTTGTTAGCACTTTTGAACAAATATCAAAGAAAACCCTTAAGATACATCAAATTAACATATGTATGTTACAGGTATAAATTTTGAAGATGAGAAAGTTCGAATTGTTTTAATCCTTTGTCTTATCCATGCCACGAAATTCACTCCCTTATGCATGAAGGTGTTATACCACCAAATCATAATACGTCACATCAGGTTGCATGAGGAAAAGGGTCGAAAACAAAATTCCATTGAATTTGACAGTTGTAAAAAAATTTATCATCCACTGCCTTAAAATATTTTTAGGTCATAATAAGTAAAAGAAGATTTGTTATTGGTGCCAATGAGACAACTCTCCATCCAAGTACAATTTGTAAAAGTGAACCATTATGATGATTATAGGTCAAAGTGCGGTCTTCAACACGGAGCCTTGGCTCACACCGAACATATATTTTGGGAGTTTCAAAGCACGATTATTTGTTTATTTAGTGTTTCTATAGAATATGAAAAAAACTTGAAGTTACAATGTACATGGTTACTAAAGCCTGAAAACATGGAATAAAATGGGGTGAATATATTGCTTAACCTACATTGATGTTTATTGTCTTATATGCAATGAAATGTTATGTGAAATTTTGTCTATAGTTTTACAACTGAACATGTGTAAATGTACTAATGTGCATTTAAATCTGTCAATCTTTGAGGTATATGGTTTAATTCATTTCTAATATATATCTCTTATAGTTGATGTGTTTCATTCGGTTTTAGTTTGTATCCCGGATTTGTTATCTCTCAATCGAATATGACTTTTGAATAGCAGTATACATTGTACTACTGTTGCTTTTATCTAGTTTTCTATGTAGTGTTTTGTAGATTTGTGTTTGGTCTGTTGTTTGCTTTATGTTGTTTTGCCATGGTGTTGTCAGTTTGTCAACAATCTACATCATGCTAAAGAAATAAATTGTATACCTTCAGCGATCCCGTTTCTTGAAAGAAGAAGTGGTAGCAGAACCCATACTGGTATCATTTTTTCACTTGTTTGCTTAACAAATTTTATGGTCTGTATTGTACTGAAACATAACAAGACAAATTGTTCGTCAGAAGATTACATCGAGTCGAAGAATCTTTTTTAAAGTGGAGTATTAAATATCATTATCGTAATAGTCCTTATACAAATAATTTAACATGTCCAATACTGATGACGTCGCGCTGCTGATAATTATAATGCATTATGTTCCATTGGCCATAATAAAAATTACAATAATTTGACTCTCCGCATTTGACACCTGTCGTGTTTTAAAAATACATGGATAAGTTATACAATGTCTAGCTCCGGATATTCACCTGGCCAAAGTCATTAAAAACCAGTTTGAAAAATTGTTTTATTGATTCAGTTCGTGTGTTTTTATCTTGTGCCTTTATGTTTGTTTGCTATGTGCCAATATGATGAGTCAAGTCATTACCAACTGTATTTTGTTATGTTGTAACATCTTTTTGAAAGGTCAAGGGAGGGTTGAGCGTAAACAAACATTTGAAACCACGCAACATTCTTTTTGTTTGATTTGTGCTTTATTTTAGCTCTTTGCTACCGACACATCCAAACCTTAAATGGGACGGCAGTTGTCGTACTAGTAAGTTGTTGTCTGCAATATTTGTTTCGCGTTTTTTTTTTACCATACATCAGACAGTTGGTTTTGTCATTTTCATTATTAAGTCGTTTCGGGATCAATAATAGCTAACTGTTAAATTATGCTTGATTTGTTCATTTATGAAGGACGTCCGGGGTGTAAATTTTAATGCATAGATGGTTTATTGACATTTATAATACAACACAATACTTTTTTTATTTTACACCCTTTATTCTAAAGTACATCTGTAAGACTTAACGTACTTCAATCATTTATTATACATTTCCTACCTCAAAATGCCATAAAACTTGAATCTAGTTTCATCATAAGGAGCAATACATAAAATCTACATGTGGATATTTTAACTTGGAAATTAACTTATGTTATTTAACTAGCAAATCAGTCCTATTATGGATAAATCAGCATGCGCAATACTGATGACGTTGCCCTGTCGATATAAATCAAGAGTTAATTTTGCTTTTTGGTCAGGGCCAATACAGAGGCCGATGTATATATACAGAAAATGCCGTATTGGCACATAGGCTAATACGGGACGTTCACTTTCAATTTTCTTAAGCATTACTTAAATTTGGACGTATCGTTATGCAACAAATCATTTGTATTATATTTTTTTAACTCAAATCATAAAATAAAAAGTACCTGATTTGGTGTATCCTAAATCCCGGTAACTGGTGCGGTCTGATGTGAAAATATCGGTATATTGATAAGTATGTTATAATATTGATCAGCTGTGGTAACAAAAGCAAAAGAGAGCAAGATACATACAAATATTATAACAGATTTTTGGGGGGATGGATGGGTACTCTATTGACCTGGGTTTTTGTTTACACATCTAACACAAGTTTCAGATATTATACATAGTTGCCTTTATTTATAATTGTATTCTTGTTTTAAAAAGCCTTCCCCATCATTTTAACTACAGAAAACATTTGCACATTTCTAAGACTACGTATTTTTCATTGAATTGTATATTGTGTGGTTGTTGATTTATTAAATTTTACCCCAAAATCTCATTTTTTTTAAAACAAAAACATATATTTATATTCTGAGAATCTATAACGGTTTTAAACATCATCAACTTACCTGCTTTTAGAACGTATTTAAAATTGTAATAACTTATTCGGTATAAATCAATGATAGTTTCTGTATAAGGGAAGTTCAATCTTATTGGTTTAAATGCACTGTGTTACAACTAATGATATTTAAACCACTTTCCATGCGTGTACAGACATCATACAATTATATATATTTATAATGATTTATTGTTTAAATCTCGAATTCACTAGTGCAAGTAGAGACGAATGTACATATGGTAATACAGGTATATATTGTAAGGTTCAAAGATTTTTAAAAGAATCAATGCATTGTTGTAAAAAATACCATCATATAGGCCTTCAGTGGGGTATCGGACAAAACTAATATGACGTAATGAGTATCCCTGATCAAATAGAATAGAATTTCAAAATCTAAAAGTTATGAAATATTATCAGTTCTCTCATTTAATGTAAAGCAGATGTTGTCAGAGAAAAGCATCACCAACAGATATGTTAGAATAATTTATAGTTTTTTGAGCAATAACCTTTTTGAAAACTATATTGATAGACCATTTTTATCTCAGCATGAAATCGGCATGGATTAAATTGTTGTTTGTCTTTGTCAACTTGGAAACATTCTATTTATTTATGCATTTTTGTAGAAAAATTTCTTTTTATGAAGTGTTCTGTAAGTTTAGCACTTCATGTCACGCTGAACAGCTGTTATTGCAAACACGTTTTTTATGCATATTTCTTCGTTTACTGTTTGTACTTTATTTCTACTTCAATTATTTTTTGTGTTCTATGCTATTCATAAAGGCTGTTACTACACTCTCGAGTCTTACTTTATAACAAATATCAAACATAATATCATATATCCATAATACAAAGCTTACTTTCTAACATTATTCGAAAATTTACCCTTCGGGAATCTGATAAGAAACATAAATATTGTATTTCTATCTTGACATCGGTCGTTTACATTAAATGTAAAAGAGGGACGAAAGATACCAGAGGGACAGTCAAACTCATAGATCAAAAACAAACTGACAACGCCATGGCCAAAAATAAAAAGACAAACAGACAATAATAGTACAGATGACACAACATAGAAAACTAAGGACTAAGCAACACGAACTCCACCAAAAACTGGGGGTGATCTCAGGTGCTTCGGAAGGGTAAGCAGATCCTGCTCCACATGTGGCACCCGACGTATTGCTTATGTTATTACAAATCCGGTAAATAGTCTAAATGTGATATTCTCTGAAATAATTTAAAAAAAAAATAGAATGATGCTTGTAGACTTCTGTCGGGTAAAATTGTTGTCTTGTTTCTAAACAAAACAAATATTCGAAACTGAAAAAATAAAGATAACTTAGATAGATTTCTTTTTGTCGAAGCTACCTGGTCACAGGTTGTTCGTTGGGGTATTTCTGACTTTGATAGTACGTCGTTTATATTCAGAGAAGTCGTTTGTTGATACTTGTTGTGATCTTTTGTACTGATCACCAATTCTTTATATGTTTTTAAATCTAGAATGTATTATTTGAACAACACAATATATTTATTAAATCAATGGAAATTTCGGGGTTTTAAATCATCAATTACGCATGTGAACATCAAGAAGGAATGTGATAAATTGTCAAACAAATTCTAAGGGTAAAAGAAAGAACAATGTTTGTGCCATTGACTGACAGTCAAGTAATTATTTAGTAACCAGCGATCATTACGGTATTTTTATAAAGAATGTTGTCTTTAGCTGTATAGCAGTTTCAGAGAAAAAATTGTAGGCAAAACTCTAAAAGGTATTTAGCTACACAAGGAATTTCAAACCAGCTCAAAACATACATGACAATAAACCATTACAGGTTAAAAGAAAGATCGATAGATTGTAAAATAGTTAACATGAGTCGATATACCGTCATGTGTGAAGTCATTTCATTGGACGAATGTATTTCTAGTAAATAAAGGCAATGAAAATATTCTACCTCGTACAAGAGAGGCGGAAGATACCAACGGAGTATTCAAACTCATAAATCAAAAACAAACTGTCAAGACTATAGAAACTGCTGAGTTTGGACAGACACATAAATAAGGATCGCTGTGAAAAAGCATCAACTAAATAAACTGTTGATGTATATATATATATATTTATCATGCTTACAACCTTGTGTAGACTTGCATAATTCTATGCAGATCTCCTAAATTAACTCCTCGAATATAAATCTAAGGGGAAAAAATCTTTTCCAAATTTTTTTTAAATAAATAGCCTCAGCTGTGCATTAAGGTTAAAGACAATCAACAATTTTTAAACAGTGAACTGTTGTTTTGCAATAGTTCAAGCATATTCAGGACGAGGACTTGAGTCAATATTGATAAAACACAGGATATTCGAATTGCTATTGGAAAATATAGGGATGTTTGAGAAAAACAATTGTTTTCATTGCAGCAGGCTACATAAACGTCTTATATAATTGTTGCAATAGTGTTATAACATGCAGAGACCGACACACTCTATCTCTTTTTTTTCTCTATTTATGTATGCGACGAGGACAAAACGACGCCCCACTTTGGCCGGTCACTTTGAGACTTGGATGAAGTCATTTCTGTTATAATTTAGGTTAGAAACCTTACATATCAAGATTGTAATAACACAAAAAGCACTCATGTCGGCGTCATAATTCGTTATGTACAGAAAGACTTTTAAACACATGCTTTAAAAGACGAAGATGTAAACTTGAAGAAACGAGGTTTTCCTTATTTGATTGGTGTCTTAACATTGTAAAATGAGAATAACTGGATTAGTAGAAAAATATTTATGAACAAGTTTGTATTTTACATATTTTTTCTCATTTTAAGTATTTGAAACAAAATACTGATCTCATCCCTGATTTTAGTATAACTTCAATTTCACATTATCAATATTCCCAACTTAAATTAGTCGTATTGGCACAACAAGAGTTCCTGACAGTTGCCAATGATTAATTGACATTGCATTTGACATATGATAGTTGATCAACAAAAGCTTCCATGAAAGTGTCAATCTGGTTGGCAAACATGTCACCAACTGTTCCGACATGAAAGGATGAAGATGAAATGTCCAACATATTTTGAAACGATTCTTCCTCTAAATTCAGACCTATTGTGAATATCTCAGATGAATCACTCATTAGTTTGCTAATTCTATCTTTTGATTTTTCATCAATATCAAATTTAAATTCCGAAATAAATAAAATGATCTTTTTAGTCGAAAATCTAGCTTCATTGTCTGTATCGTTCGATAAATTGACCACATGACCAAGTATGTCACTAAAATTTGAGACTTTAGTCATTTTGCGGGGAAAATAAGACATTCTTTGTATTGTATGGGATTTTGTGTCATTGGAATATGTTTGCTTTGTAAATCTGACATCAACTTGATCGGCGAAGTTTAGCAAAGATAATCGGAGACCAACATTGTCTAAGCCAATATATGTCAACAGTTTGATCATGAGTGAAGGGATCACGGTTGTTAAGTCTGTATTGTCCATATCACGTGATACATCTACTGCAATCAACAGGTCTGTTTCATTTGATTCGTTACAAACTGAAAAAAAATGTATAAATTTTATGTATCAGCCGAAATTGATAGTTAACCGTTTTCTTTTTTCATTTACTATATCTTATACACGTAAAGATGTCAACAAAGCATGTTCAAACAAACCAGAATGAAATATCTATCCTAAAAACACGAATGCGCTAATGAATAAATTGTTGAATGACTTTCAAAAGTTCTCATAATATACTATATTTCTTAGGAAATTAAAGTTACCTTCGTTTTATCAAAATCTAGTGTGACTTCGTGGAGAAGGAAAATGCATTCAGCTGTTATGGTATAAGTCATGAGTGCATTGACTTTTTATTTTTTTATTTCTATAGTAATAATGTAATTTATTTTATTCATTTCAGATTTTCTTTTAAATTCAATTTATACTTCACATATAAAGAAACAACTGTATTTTGTCATAGTAAAAAAGATTACCACGCGATACATTGTGTTTTGATGGGTGGTAAGATTACTGTCTCATGGACCTACTTATATATTTCTAATTCTCCTTCTCTAATTATCATTTCTCGATTTGTGTTAGAAAGATTATTCTTCTCTCTAGAGACAACATTGTTCTTGGCAAATGATTAGTCGAAATTTAATTATTGCATCAAATTTTCTTAACTTTTGAATTTCCTATCTTGACGTCATGAAAAAATGCGAGCATTCATGATGATGTCACATATAAAGAACAGAACTTTCTATGGATCTTTGAAACGGAAGAATAAACTTTGAGAAACATATTCCACCACTACATTTTGTGTAAAACGCTATTTATATAGTTCTAACAGTAAAATTATTTATGTTTCAAAAGCTCGAAAAGCCTCGCGTTTATAACTTTAAATTGAAATGTCTCAAGTGGAGATAATGTGACACACTTGATGCAGCGGTGGAATATATATTTCTTGAATTAGGATATCAATTGAATAAAGTCTTTTAGGGGGAAGTTTTGGATCCCGCTTACATGTTTTCCCGCCACATTCTGTATGTATGTCCCTGTCAGGAGATCGTATTCAGGGGTTGTCGTTTGTTTATGTGTTACATATTTGTGTTTCTTTCATTTTTTGTACACAAGTTAGGCCGTTAGTTTTCTCCTTTTAATGGTTTTACATTGTTATTTCAGGGACTTTTATAGCTGACCATGCGGTATGGGCTTTGTTGAAGTTGAAGGCCGTACGGTGACATATAGTTGTTAATTTCTGTGTCATTTGGTCTCTTGTGAAGAGTTGTCTAATTGGCAATCATACCACGTCTTCTTTTTTATATTCTAATATATAATAAGGTATGTCCACAGATTGAGCGGTTAATCAGTTGGCTGTTTAACATGCAATGGAGAATATTTCATTTATTCAGAACAATTTCATGTGAATATTCATTTCTTTTGTAGTATGCAAAACTTTTTTATTAGGATTTAAGACGTCCTTGTGTATACAATTAAAATTCATATGACAACATGTCACTTCAACAGAGTTATTATTTTCGTTTTGAGTCTGAAACGATCATTGTGTCATTCCGTACTGGTTCATGCTTGGAAATGTTTGAAACAGCCGTTTGTTCTGCTGTATGATCTTACAAAAAATTTCACTCATTTGAGGCAAAAACGGTTCATATATAATCAACATCAAAGGAATATGTCTTACCATTGCAAACAGGGTGTATAAGATCTAGCAGCATCTGATGCCATAGTCGATCACTGTTAGGCGGGTAAACCTCTGCCATCTCTTTGGTTATTCTACTTAGGTAATAATGCGACACATCCTCCCCTAAAGCCACCACATGAGTTTTTAGATCATTTATATCTACTGCTTTTAAGTCTTGTGGTGTTGACGTGAGTCCATCAGATATAACTATGAGATACTTTTTAACTTTAGTATAATACACCTTGCGATCTCTTGATTTCAGTAAGTTCCCAGCTTCTTTAATGCCTAAATGAAGCTGAGATACTTGGCCATGATATTCAAGATTTGAAATCATTTTTGGTAGATCTGTTGAATTACTAAGGAATTCAAAATTGTATTCAACGTTTGAATTGTTTGAAAAGGATACAATTGCTATCTGGAAATGGCTATCGTCAATTATCCAGGATTTTGTTAAATTTATTAAAAATTGCTTTTGCATTTCAAAAAATTCCTTCCCCATACTTCTGGAACTATCGACAACAAAGACGACATCACTGGGAAATGGTGTACATAAATCTACAATTGGATTGCTATCTGTTAATCATCAATGGTGTACCATGGCGCATTGTAAAATGCTATTTACATTTGCACACGTTAAGGACCATGTTGTTATATCTTTGCGACCAATATATACATATTTTGTTTTCAAATTTTACTTGATTGATAATACACAAAACATAAAAGTATCATAAGGCAGAATTCATGTATGTTTTGACATTTTCTAGAAAGATTAAGCTCGTTCTTTAAAACATATTATAACATTTAAATGTAGCATGCCGTTGCTTGATTTTTTTATTTAGCTATAGAAAATAGGGTGTGTCAAGTTTTCTTGTCGCCATCACGAATTAGTTGACCTCTGTGGTGTGTCTGTTTCTCTACTCATTTCAGACATGTAATCGAGATCTTAGATCTTTAGATTCAATGATGTGAGTTCAGTCTTTTGATATAAAGATCATATCTGTTCAATATATGTACAACTAAACTGAATATGGATTTGCATCACAAGTTATAATTTGTGACATTAGAGGTTTGCCAATACGTACTCGCTTTTTTATTACGTTCGTTCAATTTTCTCAAATGTGTTAAATTGCTATGTTTATTTAGACTGAATGTACAAGATTTTAATATCGGTAACTACTTCTTCCCGCTTTTTTAAATTGTATTTCTTATGCAGGTAAACTCAATCAATAAATAGTGCAAATGTAGTATAAGCTCAAAGTACCAAATAAGTTCGTTTTAAAATCTTTATTATTATTTTTTTATAAATGTACCAGAAACAAGTTTCATAGGCCATTTTATCGCATATTAAATATGTTTTAATTAAAACTGTACTATACCTATCTCACAGATTTGTCCCGAAAAGTGGTCTGGACAACTACATTTATAACCAGTCCAACCAATTGGTACACATGTTCCGTTGTTCAAACAATAACTGTCTTTACAAGGATCTAGATTCATGAAAGAACACAATATGAAATATCATAGCTTTAACATGTTTAAATTTAATAATTATTTAGTGCTAAAAGAAACAATATCCGTTCACTTAAAAAATGCATGTTCCTTACACATAGATATCGCAGATTTCTTTATATTTCAGTTAAATAAAAAAGTGATCTTTAGCATGTTTGAATGCGTAGAAAATTAAATGACAAGAGTTCAACCATCGGTCAACGATATGTATTCAGAACGCCGTGTGATACATCTACTAACGGTTCTTAAGAGACGGTATACAATACAATGTATTTAGAAATTAAATTCGATGATGATTGTTTTACCAATTCCCCGAGGATTTCCAATATACCTCAATTCCAGCGTCGATTTCATATCGTTCCGTTTAATTTTTCATTACACTATTAAGGTTTAAACAAATTGAGAACAATGCTGCAGTGAATGATTGCAACATTTGTAAGATCTACACAAGAAGTATCCCCATCCGTATATATCAACGATCCTAGTAATTTAAAACTATATAAAAGGATAAGTCACCAAACAGGATAAACAGACTTATAAATAGATATTACCTAATCCAAGATCACAAACTTGACCACCATTTTTTGTCAATGTTCCTGCATTATCATCACTGCAGTTCTACAAATAGTCAACTGAATTGTTACTCATCGTCAAGAGTGTTTTCAATATATTTATTTCACTAATAACTAATAGCTTACATTTTATGAATTTACTTGTGTATTTGTTTAATTGGTATAAGTTTGTAATGCTTTACACAGGCATAGTCAAATGTCGACACGTTGTTGATTGATCGCAGAAAAAAAATGCAACAAATCTGACTATGAAAGATGAAAGTTATATTGTTTATTGTAACGGCTACCTGAAATCATGTTTAGTTCTAACCATTTTTAATGTCAAATCGTAACGTGTAATGATCATGTTATAATCTTGAGAGGTATTATGTTTACCATCCAAGGTTGTCTATATTATTTTTTGCAAGGTTTTCATATTTTCTTGGAGCATTTAAAACCTATATTGAGCGGAGGGATTATAACACAAAATACAACAGGCCAACATTATTTGCCTTAAATTAACCGTTATAAGTTATCTTTATGAATATAATTTTCTCCTCAAGTGAATATTAAGATATCAAGGAAAATATATTATTGCAATACATTATTGAAAAATTGTTATATGATACAAAATAGTACAGTTATAAAACACAAAGAACTTATAATTCGAATTTTCTGGTCCGTGAATTATAATACTGATTCACATCAATGCGTGAAAATCATGGTTTTATAGCAACATAACAGTGAAATACCTTTATGTTACCTATACTAATTTGTGAAAAGGAATTCTGCTGTTCACTTATTTTAGAGATATATTTTTCATGACTGTAACCTGATGCCTATGTATATGTAAGAGAATGACAATCCCTTTCTTCATGATTAAGTACGAGCGTTAGCGAGTACTTATCATGAAGTAAGGGATTATCATTCTCTTACAAACTTAGAATATTGTAAAGTGCTCAAGGCTTAAATGATCTCTTGATTGGTTGTATTTAAGAATTAGTTTCATTGTCAGTGCAATGTTTGTAATTAATGCATGACTTCCTTTTTAGGCATGATTTCATTTATGGATTAGTTTTAGTGATGTAAGGACCTTCTTATAATTTAGGAAAATATAATAAATTATGTTTTTTACATTAGATGACACAACAGAACAATGAAATGGTAAGAAATGTTTCCTGATTGTGAGTATGAATGTAAATCATGTAATATTTTAGCGAGGAATTATCTTTTTGTTTATTTCCATCACAAATCAATAAATTCATTATTTGGGTTACAAATAAATTTTATTTTACAGCCAATGTTTTAGTCCAGTCCTTTACATCAAATACTACTTCATTATGTCAGGGAAATGTTCAAATACAAAAATATATTCAAAAGTTAAACTAAATTTTTTTTTTTTAGAATTTTATCAGAATATTGGAAATTACTATTCTCACCAACCGCGGATCCAGTAACCAATGTTACTGCACCAGTAAACTTCATCTAATTTGGATTTTTTTTTTTTTGTATGTTTCAAAATTCCACTTTTAGTCAGTTTTAATCACAAATTCTTTCAAGCTGATAAATGTGCTTCGGGGCATTTGTAACTCATTTATAGAAACTCTTTGTTTTGAACTGTAAGTAGGCCTAAACAATAGGATAATCCCTTACTAAGAACATGATTTCATTCATTCTTCACAATTAAGAAACACCAAATCCTACAATTTCTTTGGTCGAGAGCACTTTGCTATATTCTAATTGGTATTTGTGTTGAAACTGCAAAATTTTGCATTAATTGCTGTTGGAAAAGGTTAGACACAGGTAATTCTGTTTTTTGAAACAATTAAATTTCCAAATGCATTAGAGCTTCAACAAAGTCGTTACAAAAAGTTAAGATTGCTCTTTTAAAATAGACAAACAAAAAGGTCATTATTTATGAATAATTTTATCTATCAGGTCATGTTTGTATCACTGCTTTTTATTATTTTTTTGAATAACCCTTCCTGCGTTAAGATACATTCAAGTTGATGCGGTAAACTTTTTGTAAAATTTTTCTAAAATAAGTTTTAAGTGTTACCATTGTCGTAGATTTGAAATTTAGCCCAGCAGGATACCCGTATGAGTTGTACTCTTCTATTCCTGTTGATATGGCAAGAAATGTAACCGATTTATCTACATGGTAAACAGAATGGGCCCCACTAGAGATTCTGAGCTCCGTATATTTGATATCATGTCGTCCTTCGACTGCATACCATTTCGTTGTAGGTAACTTTTGACCGTCAAGAAGTAGCCCGGATATATACGTCTCTGCAATGACAAGGGCTAGTGAGTTTATCAAATCTTTACCGTCGACAGTTATCGTAGAAAATGTATAGTCAGATGAAAACTGTTGGATAGGTGGAATAAGTATCATCGCTGGATCTCCCAAATACCCTCTACATCCACCATTTGCAAACAAAGCAAGGGATATTGGTTTATCTGATGAAACTGTATTCGATGTTTGATCTTGCAAATTAAACGTATGAAAATCTCCTGATTCAGTTAGCCTTATTGGTATTTGACCGGAAATATTCACAAGTGTATTGTGTTGGCTAGCAACTATCCTGTAAGTGTCAGGTGAACTACAATCCGGCATGCCTATGGTCACGAAGTCTTTTCCCCATTTTTCTATTGGAAGCATTTGCTGTACTAAATGATCACAAGCACCTGCACCTACCCTTGTACAAAGATTACCCCCAAGAACTGTTACAAATGTATCCGCAAATATATGAGTCCCTGTAAAATCACCACTATAATATGATGTCACTGTTATAGTTTGGTATTTCTTAAGCTGAAAATCAAAGGATGACCCAGATCCATAGGGATTTCCATCAACAACAATTGAAGGACTTTTATTTCCTAGTTTTATGTTTATTTTTGTTGTATCATCCGTTCCAATAATCATAAAAGTTGACCTTGAAGACCAGGATACAACATAGTATTCCTGCCCTAGAGTGTCAGTTGGTAAAGCAAGATAAGCATCAGTAGAAGCAGTAGCTTTGTTGATGGCATACACTATTATATCATCATCTGCAGTAATATGGATCCCTTTATTTTCTAGTCCAGAGGTACCAATGATAGAGACATCCATATCTATCTTTTTAACTGTTCCTTTTCGACTAATAACGGATTTGGAAAAAAGCGGATTGAACAATGGTGTTGTTATTTTCACGTTAACGTCCTTATCGTTATCAGTTGTTATAAAAAGTTGCACGTTTGCTCCACCTAAGTTTGGCATAAAGCCGAGAATAAATTCTTTTCCTCTATTGTCCATACCTTATAAAAAACATGAAACTTTAGTAATTAAGAGATTGTCAGTTCTAACAATATTATTCTTATAGATACATGAGATTTGTATTACTATTGTTGTTTAGAAAGGTGTCGGAACATATTTTAAATCCGTGAACAAAATTCAACCAAAACTATTTTTGTCAATAACTCAGAAAAAATGGAAAGGTCACAAGCATTAAAACTTACCTGGACAGTCATCTTCATTACAAAGACGGGATACGATAGAAGTGCCTTCACAATCTAGTCCTCCATATTGTGGATAAGGGCTGTCGCAATGTCGCTGACGAAACTGTGTTCCCCCTCCGCAGCTCACAGAACAATCACTATAATTTAACCATGCCCCCCAGCTACCATTAATTGTTGGACATGCTCCTTCGTTGCAGGTTAACCTTTCTCTATAGGAGCCATTACAAACTAAACCTCCATTTTCTGGCGCAGGACTGTCACAGGACCGATTTCTAGTCACTGTACCATTACTACAGGTTTTAGAACATGCACTTAAATTTCCCCATTGTCCCCAGTTACCGTCGACACTCGGACAAATCCCCTCGTCACAAGGTATTTTATCAGTAGATTGACCTGAACAATTGTTTCCACCATTGACAGGAGGCGGGTTATCACAAGTACGAGTTCTAATGATGTATCCATCGCCACATGTTGTCGAACAAAGTGTTACATTTGTCCAAGCACTCCAATGACCATCAGTCACTACTAGATAAAGAGACCAAAACGTACATTTAAATCAAATAAAGAAAAAAAAAATACAAGATTTCTTCGTTAAAGTGAGCATCTTGATGACATATCTTAATAAACAGATACAATTTTATATAAGGAACAGTTTTGCTTCCATAAGAGGACGAGAGATAAGAAAGAGATTTGTAAAAGTTGTAAACCATGTGCTGACAATTCAATGCAAAAAAACGAAACACCACTTAAAGACATACTATAGTAAACAAGACACAACTGTTACACAGTCAACTAATGACTGAGTAGCACGAACCTCATCAAAATCCGGGGTGATCTCAGATGCTTTCGTTTATGAAACACAGTAGCTAGTCATTTCGGATAAAGCCTTAATTTGTCCATTTAACAAACTTTGTAGATGTTATTTCGTTTTCTGTTTCACATTCAACGAACGCTATGCAAACCCGTCAAATTAGTTACGATAAAAATATGTTTTTTGAAATAAGTCAAGGGAGAGATATCTGTTTTTATGCATAAAATTCTTTTTTTCTATTCTATATCTATTTGCTGGTCATTTTGCCTAAACAAAGTCGAAAATGCGAAGATTAAGGCCTGTTGTTTTGGGCAATGGCATAAACAATATATTAGTTGGCGATTAAGTCATTTCAAGGGGATCAGTAATGGTAGGTACAGAATATGTTGAATGAAATTGTATAAGCATTGGCACATATACCATCTTTATTAGGATTATTTGGCCTGCATCCTCAGTCATGGTATATTAACTTTGATATTTTTGTTTAGTGTTCATGATAAAATGTGTGGTTATTTTGTTTTAAGGTCAAATAGCTCTTCACTAAATTCGAGTCTAATACACCATGACTTTCATGGCTTGAGCTTCCCAGATGAAGATAAAATCTGAAAAGGGTGTCGGTCGCATACAATTTATATCGTGTTATTTCAATTTTTGAAGATGCATTACTAATTGATATACAATTGCATTAACATGTCTCATTGCCAAAGATTGTTAAGCTCGTTAATTGACGTTGGAGTTTTTCAAAAGTTTACAACGATCGAGTTTTTGTTTAAGTCAGTTCAGAAGGCAGTTGTAAATAAGTTTTGGTCTGAGTCGATTATTTTGATATCTGCATCGCCTAAAAAGTCTAAACAATATATTGTTTAGTCATTTTTAGTCTTTTTGACAATTTTCAAACTAATTCACTTAATTTAGTCCTTTTGATACAATTACCTTTAGTCAACTCTATATTGTACAGTAGCTCTCGGACATTATAGTATGATGGCAATGAGGACAGGTAAAACATCAAAAGAACAGGCTGAACATAGAATGAACTGTTTGAACAGAGCCAACAAATCATAATTGACTACAAGCGAATAGTCTTGACTGTAGTCTTTACTGCAGTATATATTATTGAAAATTAACAGAAAGACTGAAAATAAGTTAATGATTTATTGTTCAGTCTAAAAACTGAAATCAAAATGACCATTTCAAATCAGACTTTTAGTATTAGTTAGGGAAGCATGCACGTATGAGAAGTCGATGGGATTCGGAATGTATTTTGCATTGACATTTCAAAGGAGGTCGCTTTGCTCTGCACCTTCAGTCATAGTTGGTTGACTTTTAAAGTTTTGCATAATGAACATGTAAAAGTATTCCCATTTTGATTTTGACACATGCATTACATTATCAAAATTATATGAAAGCAAGACAAATATCTGAGTCAACAGTTATTATACGGTATAGAAGAGGGACGAAAGATACCAGAGGGATAGTCAAACTCATAGATCGAAAACAAACTGACAACGCCATGGCCAAAAATAAAAAGACAAACAGACAAATAAAAGTACAGATGACACAACATAGAAAACCAAAGACTAAGCAACACGAACCCCACCAAAAACTGGGGGGTGATCTCAGGTGCTCCGGAAGGATAACCAGATCCTGCTCCACATATGGCACCCGTCGTGTTGCTTATGTTATTACAAATCCGGTAAATAGTCTAATTCGGTAAAACACATTCGTGAAAAGGGAGGGTATTGTCGTTACGACATAACGAACATATCAGATATCATCTGTGAAACGGTTATTCCATAACGGTCAACCAACTCGTGATGGCGTCCGTAAAATATACGAAGGGATGACTTCAACTTCACCATTTGGAACTCTTGGTTTAATAGCTTCCTTGTGAGCAGCAATCCTCTATCAAGGAAATCATGATAGGAAACACAAGCCCGGGAATATCGTATCAATTGGGAGATATATATACTCCGTATGCAGGCGCTGCTGGAATGTTGCTAAATAGAAATGGAAAGTTCACAATTAGGAAGCTCACATCATCTCTTTTGTCGTAAAGTTTTGTTTTCAACCGACCCTCATTGTCAATTTCAAGATGTAGGTCAAGATATGAGGCAGACTTAACTGTATCTGTAGTATAGTATCCTTTATCCCTAATTCGATGGGATAGATTCGTTCAACATAGTCACCAAATTTTGTATTATTTAATGAGAGAACATCATCTATATAGCGGAACGTAGAGTTAAAGGATATTGCTAACTTCTTATCTTTCTTCCAAAGAAGTTCCTGAATGAAGTCAGCCTCATAATAATAAAGAAACAAGTCGGCAAGAAGAGGAGCACAATTGGTTCCCATTGGAAAAACACGTCCTCCAAACGTAACAAATATGTTGTCAATCAAGAAATCAAGCATCTTGATAATGTCAGTTTCAGAGAATTTTTTGTTTGAATCAGAGTGATTCTTTACAAAGTAGGATTTATCCTAAAGAGGTTTCGTGGAGCACTTGGAAGACCCAGCAATATACCGTTGTTTGTAAGGACACTTATGTAGTTTAGGTATCCAATACAGTGATGGAAGATCCAGTTCTTCATCTTTGGTTGAAATTCCAAAGGAACATAGAACAGACCTATGATTATCCAGGATTTCCTCTTTGGTAAGTGTCGTGATGGTATATGTTGAGTTTCAAAGTGAATTGTCAATACCTAATTCATTTTATCAAGCAGTCTATGTAATGATATTTATTTGTCGTCATGAGCCAACAATTACATACGACAGACAGACACATTAGCCAAATTGACAAATTGAACCTACAGCCTGTCAACTAAAAGCCAAATACTGTCAAAGAACAACATATACATAAAAAAAAAAACTTCTACTTATGCACGTTATGACAAATAAGGATGTCAGAAAATGAATTGTTAAATATCAAAAGACAAAATAACATTGATATAGGCAAAATTGCAGTGGACGCTTAAATCCGGTAATTATCTTAGGTAATTAAAACTACCATGATAATGATTGATAATATTTATAAATATAAGAAGGGAGAGTTTTTCATAGAGTTACAAATCAATGAGTAAAGATGTTTTCCTAGGCAAAGGACCAGTAGTTGTGCATCATTTGACTGAATACTTTTTTGTCCAAACTACTGGTTACCCTATTGGAGCTCATGATCAGTTCATCCTCTAATTGATGGGTCTCTTGATGCTCATTCTTCAGGTGTCTGTGAAATTATGTATTGTGATTGTCTTTTCGTCGCTTTTACTTTTGATGATGGTGTTGTCTTTTTTTTTTTTAATGAATAAATGAATATAGGTAATCACCTTTGGTATCTTCTTTAAATAAAGGCAAGAATAATATACCTTTGTTCAATAGTCAAAACTCGATTAAGCGAAAACAAATCCGGTTACAAACTTAAACCAAGGGAAACACATCAACTATAAGTGGAAAACAACGGAACTATAGAAACACTGAACTGAGGCAAAAACAAAGGCTGCATACATAGAAACGGACTATTTGATAACGGCGCTCACATTCTTGACTTCGTAGCAGACATTTTAAGAAAAAAAAACGGTGGGTTGAACCTGGCTTTATGCCTAGCCCAAACCTCCAACTTATAAGGCAATGTTAAAAATAACGCTAAAATGACAACATTACGTGACAGAAACAAAGTACAAATAAACGTAAAAACACTCAGGACATATTTTAGTTTATAAAATAATTGACTATAGATTGAAAATACATAAAAGTAAAACAGGTTATGTAACCATATGATTCCCATACCTTTAGTTGTCAAAGCTGCTGGTAGAAAACTCAGGGTAAATACAATGATACGCGTATCCATTTAAAGCACTTCACACAAAGTATACCATAGACATCTGCAATAAGAACGATACATACTATATTGGAACAATGACCACACGGAACCATTGGTGCATGTTTGTCAAATAAACTTTCCAGCTGAAATCATTTCTTACTGCTCTTAAGAACAACAAGAATATCAAATAGTAAATGGTTCACCTTAAAACGACTTTAAGGGAGAACTGTCAGAACAAGATTTAAGGCAGAAGGGTCTAAACTGTGCTCAGGCAGGACAGTAAAAACTATTCTAAGGTAGAGCTGTTACAACTTTAAAACATTTGTCTGTCATGATATATTCTAGGGAGGAGCGGTCTAAATCTGTACTTCGGTAGAACAGTCATTACGTGTTCGAATGTGACCAGTTCTTACTTCAGCTTCTTGAAAATTATATATAAAACATGTTTAACCCAGACACATTTTTACGTGTGTCCAAAGTCAGGAACTTTGTTAGTCTTGTGTGTTTTAAAAACAAAATTGTTCAGTTGTGTGATACAAATTTAGTGTGGCGTCCATTTCGCTGAACTAGTAAGCAATATTGTTTAGGGGCCACCTAAAACCCGCCTCTGTGTCTGGGATTTTCATGTTTCGTTATAGATACATGGGATGCCTTCGGATATTTTCTGCACTTTGGATATTTTCTGCACTTTAGTCGGGTTGTCTCGTTAACCCATACTCCTTATTTTTTATTCTCAATTATACAATACAACAGTAAAATTTGCCAAGAAGTCACGGATAATTACCTGTTAGATATGTTTTAGATAAACGATTCATTATAGTTCATTTGAGTTTTCTATAAACCATCGAGATAAATTTGTAAAAATCACATGTTTTAATTCCTTCGTTTCGTATAACCATAATACAAAATTTAAAACAGGTTCAATATTTTTAGACATTCCGTCAACGTTAAAAAAAAAAACATGGCAACATGCATAATTATATGTTATTGATCCTGATTGAAAGTGCAGTAAATGGCGGTCCGAACAATTCCAAATGTAGTTTTTTGGTTATTTCTAACATATTTTGAAAAAAAATAATGATTGATTATTGTTTTGCATAACATCCTGTAGCAAAATTACATCTATGTTCAGGACGAGAACTAATAAATAGTAAAACAAAAAGTAGGTTCTGCAAAGTTGGGGCGACCGGGATGGAAGATTGAAAATTTGAACGGCCACTAGGAAATAGGGCATGTTGAATGGGTACATGAATTCTGCATTACAGAAAAAACGGGTAAATTACTAACCCTAAAATAATTGCTGCAATGGTTCAATAACGTGCATAGATCGTGACTTTCTGTCACTCTATGTCTATATTTCTTTTCCATGGTCACTATTTTGGTGTTTGGAAAAAGGCTATGCATCCTATACTTAAAAACAAAAGCGAGTTATTTTGGAAATACCTTTTTGAGTGTATCAAATTCGCATTAACAAATCCCGAATAATACTAAAAAATATTGTACAAATAAGTGTCAAACCAATATTTATCGCTAAATAAACCTTGACATAAGATTAAGATATATAATTGTTGATATCGATATTCTGCTTGAGAATTTACAACTTTGAGAACTAAATCGATTATAGTATATCAAATTTTAAATTGCGTACTTAAATGTAACATTATAAAAAAAAAATTGAGACATTAATTAAAGAAATAAAAGTGTTAAAACTTAAAAAACTTTGAGAGATTTAAAGATCTGGAGTAAACTTTTAAAGATATTTTTTTCTTTGTTCTTTTTTATTATTATTATTTCATTGGGGTGGAGGAGGGAATATTTTTACCGTTGAAAACATTGTCTACAAAAAATACCGAACTCCATGGTTTATTTAAAAAGGGGAGGATCGTCCACTATAACAAACGTAATATTTTATCAACCAACGGAACGAACGGAAAACAACTGTCATTACTATATGTACTTTTTGCAATATTAACATACAGTCTGGTTTGTGTCAGTGATCAAGATCTTAAATTGCAAAGGATGGTACTAAACATGACTAGAAGCTTTGTCGTGATTAATACACCATTGCGGATTTTCCGGGTTTTTTTTCTGACCAAGGGCCTGAGGCACTGCAGGCAACTTTACACTTTGACACTTATAGCAGCAACTGTACGTCAAACACAATTTCAAATTTAAGTGGCATTCAAGAACTTTTTAAATCGGTCAGACTTTTATAAGCTATTTAACTGTTTGCTGATTTTGTTAGTATATTTTTACTGCAAATTAAATAATGCATTATTCTGTATATTTTTATTAGAACAGTCGTCAAGTGTGTGCATTGTTGCAACAAGTTTAAAAGGTATTTCCTAAACAATTACACTTTTTTATATAAATTTGGTTTAACGATAGATTTGTTTAGCAGAACTTTAAGAACACGTAGTATAAAATTCTAAATGTTTTCTTAATTACCTAGTGAAATGCAGTCTGATATGTACGATTTTACAGGTAAAAATACAGGTAATGATACGTCTTCAAGAGATAAAGTTGTTAGCTTCTATGTAATTGTTATGAAAAGTAGTTAAACCCATATGCCACTATAGGAATCTGTGTTTGGTTCAGTTTGTGATTAATCATTTTGAGACATCAGTAACTTTGCAAAACGTTCATGGAATTTAGAAACTGTTGACAAACCATGAAAAAGCGAAAGCTACAAAAGACTCATCAGTGAGATTCTAAACAAAAAAGTTAAAAAGGTTAAACAAATATCAACATACCTGCTTCTTTTGAAATTTTATTATCACTTCAGGTATAACTTCTGAAAACAGGAAGTTAAACATGATTTACTGATAATGCTTTGTTACTTAGATATTGACATTTAAACTACTTCATGTGTGTGAATACAAACTTGACAATATTGATTTTAATGTCTTTTTGTTGAAAGTATTATTTGGCTAGTACACATATGCCAATAAAATTGAATATTTCAAGGTTCACAGAAAATCTATTCGAGATATCGAAGGTGGGCATTCGCAACCTTACTGTCAACCATAAAATATCAATTTATATCGACCATTACAAAATTGTCTCATTTGTATTCTTCCCTTTGTTTTCTTTCAGAATGGAGGACACCGTTAAGAGAAATACACCTATCAATATTGCACCTGTGTATTTATGCACTTGAAATAGTTTTCAGAGTGAAGATTTACAACAACATCTGAAGAACAATGCATTGTTGTGAAAATATTAACCAATTATATGTTACTTCCTTTTTTTCAAATACGTTCCAGTAACCAAAAATGTAGAAATCACAATTTAAATAACATCGTTTCAAAAGAAGGTAAGTTTACGTTTTAATTCTTACACATGTATAACTATACCGTATCTACTTCTCTGACGTTAATCTACAGTGATAACTGAATATTGTTTGATGAATACACTGTCGACCGAAGTAAATCTAAAATCTAACTATTACTATTAACGCATTACCGTTTAAAAGAATAACAATGAATAATGTTATTTTCTTCCATAACAATACGTCGGTGCAAAAATCAATTGACTAAGACTGTTGTGATCGGTTTGTTTAAAACGTTTACTATTAATTCGTATAATTGATTGATTGGCGTTCGGTTATCATCGAGTGGCATCTTATTTATGACCACTCGCGTCAGATGCACACCTAAAGTATCTGGCTATTTCATCTTGCTCAATGTCCTAAATATATCAAATGTACGGTGACCTATAGTTTAAATTAGAATTAGCCTATTTACCGGATTTGTAATAACATAAGCAACACGACGGGTGCCACATGTGGAGCAGGATCTGCTTACCCTTCCGGAGCACCTGAGATCACCCCAAGTTTTTGGTGGGGTTCGTGTTGCTTAGTCTTTGGTTTTCTATGTTGTGTCATCTGTACTATTATTTGTCTGTTTGTCTTTTTATTTTTGGCCATGGCGTTGTCAGTTTGTTTTCGATCTATGAGTTTGACTGTCCCTCTGGTATCTTTCGTCCCTATTTCAAATCTACGTCATTCTGTCTCTAACGGATAGTTTTCTAATTGGCAATCTACATCTTCTTATCTTCATTTTTTAAATGCTTGATTTGTTGTGTTTCTTTACTTTTTTTTCTCTTTTGGGTGAAGCGGATTTTATTAATGATGCATTTTGATTGTATCTTGATTTAGGTCGAGTGGCATTTATTTCATGCATATTAAGGACGAGAAACATGTATCATAGAGTAATGTTTAACTTTATTGTATTGAAGCTGAAAGGGGTATGCATAGCTCGACAATGCGTGCAGTCTTGCATGGTTTGTGTTTTAATATATACATTCTGCAATATATCATTCGACACACTACTGATGTTTCATTGTCCGATAAAGAAAATTTAGGGTGTAGAAAAAGTTCAGTGAGATTACCCTTTAATTCAGTAATTGTGAAACATGGATTTTCAAGCATTCATGTGAAACATAATTCAAATAGTCTGTATCATTAAGAAGCTTTAGATATATTTATTAACATGTTTGACACATACGTATCCGCGATTTTTAAAAGAGTAGTTATCTTTAACTGCAAACATATAGTTTCTTGTACTCCATGTAAACTTCAAAGAATTTAATAGAAAAAAGTAAAATAACAAAAATATCGAACTCCGAGGTAAATTCAAAACGGAAAGTATGTAGTCAAATGACAAAATCTAAAGCTCAAACACATCAAACGAATGGATAACAACTGTTATATTCCTGACTTGGTACAGGCATTTTCTTAAGTAGAAAATGATGTATAAAACCTGGTTGTATAGCTAGCTAAACCTCTCACTTGTATGACAGTCGCATAAAATTCCATTATATTGACAACGATGTGTGAACAAAACATACAGACATAATAGGTAATAATGTCAAAAATATGGGTACAGCAATCAACATTGTGTTATAATTTTAATGAATATAAAAACAAACAAATATGTAACAAACAAACACAAAAAGGCATATAGACAAAGCAAATTAGCAAAAATGAAAGACAAGAATACAAAAATATACCATAGCCCAATAACACAGTGACGAGATGTACAAGTACAGAGCCAAGACATACGTATCAAAGAACCACAAAAGGGCATATAGACAAAGCGCATTAGCAAAAATGAAAGACAAGAATACAAAAATTTACCATAACACAATAACACAATGACACAATAGTTTGGTGTATGCTTTACATACAGTGGCAAATATTTCATATAAAAAAGATGTGGTATGATTGCCAATGAGACAACTCTCCACAAGAGACCAAATGACACAGAAATTAACAGCTACAGGTCACCGTACGGCCTCAAATAATGAGCAAAGCCCATACCGCATAGTCAGCTATAAAAGTCCCCGAAATCACAAATGTAAAACAATTTAAACAAGAAAACTAACGGTCTAATTAATATACAAAAAAAATGAACGAAAACAAATATGTAACACAGCAACAAACAACAACCACTGAATTACAGGCTCCTGACTTTGGACAGGCGGCACATACATACATAATGTGGCGGGATTTAACATGTTAGCGGGATCCCAACCCTCCCCTCTCCTGGGACAGTGGTGTAACAGTACAACATAAGAACGAACTATAAAAATCAGTTTAAAAGGCTTAACTCATCAGATGGATACAAATAGAAATACATCTAACAAAAACATAGAGTGGACGTGACAGGGTACCTGTACATCCCAATAACAAAAGACACTTAGTACAGATCTGAGAGTGCTCATGACTGTTTAAGACGAGAACAAATCATAATACAACTGATAGATCCTTCGATTGGGGATCGTCCAGCATAAAGGACAGGAAATTGTTAATATCACCAGCAAATAAGGATATAATGTATAGGACAGGGACAGAAATTTAGGCTCGCAACAGGTAGCCTTTAAACCTTTTAACGAGTTTTTGCATGGATGCCTAACGTACAGAGACCGTTGCAATCTTTCTACACGAGACAATGGATTTACGTCCAAATTCAGAACATCGAGCGTGACAGCGAATGTATACACCCAATACAGCCAAATATACACCCCCACTTTGACAAGGGTTTTTTCTGCCGGTCGGAAGAAGACCACGGGATGAGAATACTCCTTACCCCAGTCAACCAATGTTGTAGATGTATATAATGAAATTCCGTTTTTATCCTCCATAGGTTTAAAAGAGACGTCAAGACGATCGACATAAGCCATACTTTTTACCGTACCGTATATACGGCATATGACATAGTCTCAACTAAACAATAACTCAAATGATCTAAAGCCCATTTGTAAAGAATTAAGTTCTTTGGATTGTCAAGTGGCCAATGTTATACAAAACAACATTTAAATATAAATTTAATAAACAAAACAAAAGTAAAGTAAATTCAACATAAATGAAATAATGAAATGAATACATGCAAATGTAACTAAATAAACACACACAAAACAGAACTAAATATAATGTTATGAAATAAACAAAATGGAATTAAACAATTACAGTCCGCACACCTCCATCCACTCTGCACACTTCCCGGTAAAGGTTGAACGTTGCACGTACTGTAGAATAACTTTGGGTTGTTCCCCTTGAATTTCTTTTAATATAAAACGGACAGAAAATACCTATTTTCACACATTTTTGGTTGATTCTAAATTGATGAAAAGAACACTAGATTTTATACTTTTACTGCAATGATAACTTCAATGAGCAATGACGACTTGAAACTGCATAATACTGCACGGACTGCTCGATTCGTTTAACATATATTTAAACGGACTTCTTTGTATATTTATAACGGATATTTTCACTGACTCCAGGCGTTGTAATTGATATCAGCAAACATCGAGTTGTAACCATATTACTAGTAACACCCTTTGTATCTCCGACACCATATATCACCGACCAGTCGACGGTATTTACTACGTGCTGTACGCACACCAAAACCGGGCCTTAAAACCCCTGCAAAATAAATATTGAACCCAAAAATTACTTACTTTATCTATACATTTGCATGATACAGCAATTATTCCGACATTCTGGACCGCGAGTAAGGAATATCATCTCGACGGCAAAATAGACCTCAATGAGCGATATAAATAAGTAAAAATGTCTTACCTGAGTGTTGTAATAATAAGCCTTGGGATATCCATGTCCTAAACTGACAATTATAATACCCAACTGCTACTTTTACCAACCCTAGACTCCGCACAAGCGTGTGCTTTATTCAATGACCATGTGGCGACTGATTTCAAACTCACCTGTGAAATTTCAATAGGTGCCTAATCACGTGATACACATGAAAGGTCTGCTTGACTATATAGTCCGGTGTTAACGAAAATAAGCCCTAACATAAAATATAGTCCTAAGTGAAATAGATATATATAAATAAATAAATGGAGTTTGTTACAAACGTCCCTTTCCTGAAGACTAAAGCACATTTTAGTCCAACCAGACTAACAAACTCCAAAACAAATCTGAAATAAACTATATCAGGTATATATGACAATATATGTACCTATCAATCTATATAAAATTAAAAAAAACGTAAAACTTTAGTAGCATTCTAGTAACACTCAGGGGTCATCTAAATATCATCACATCTAGATAATACATCTGCAACAATGTTATTCCTGCCTGCAATGTAACAAATAGTAAAATTAAATTCCTGAAGTATTAAACTCCAAAGGAGTAACCGTTGGTTACTGGTTTTCATCCTCTGTAACCACTGTAAAGGAGCATGATCAGTACAAATAGTAAACTCTTTACCCTCAAGATAATTCCTTAACATCTTTACCGCCCAAACTATGGCAAAACACTCTTTTTCTACCACTGCATAGTTACACTC